TAACTAATTTTTAATTTCTTGCTGCTCTGTTTTTTCGTGTTTTTCTTTTTTTGGCATGATCTCATCGAGCTAGTGTGTTTGTGAGAGGCGGCAGCCAATCCCACTTTGGCTCATTATGCCAGTATCTGTGAGATACATTTGCTGTGTGCTGCCCAGCTAGCTGATGATGATGATGTGCTGCCCACTCGATCATCATGGTAATGATCGCCAAGAGGCCAACCAACTGACCAGTGGGTTGAGATAGCTTCGTTTTTTTTTCTGTATCTTTATATTCCGCTGTCTTTTGATTTGCTGATGGCCATTTTGACGGGCCTGGCGAGTTGGCGTTGTTTAATGATCTCAAAAGTTCATTTCAAACTGAAACTGTACTGTTTGGGAAACAGAAAATATATCTGAAATTGGGTTTTGCATGGGGAGAATTCGTATTTCAATAGATAAGAGTTTTTATTTACAACTTTTTGTGTTATAAGATAAAACTTTAAAGACTTTTCGGTTGGATTACAAGTTATCACAATTTTTGGAACATGACTAAGGCCATCACTTGAATTGCTTTTTTGTATTTCTTTAACCCACCACAAATTATCAGTAATTTTAGACCAAAAATTCTCAAGAATTTTAACTCAATAATAGTTTAATTTTTCCTAAAAAAATATAATTCATTTTAACGGGGAATTTTCTGAGATTAAACTTGTATTGAATTCATCTTTAAGTCTGAGTAATTTTAAAGCCATCTGCGAGAAAGATTTTTGGATAAGAAAAATTTAAGGTTATTATTAAGGTTAGAAAACGTTTGTCAATTTTGCCTATTAATAACTTTAACTATAAGGATAAATATTTCCTTTAAAAATAAAACGTTTCCTATCAGGAAAATATAAAAAACCTATAGTATATATCACATTTTCTTTGAGAAATATTGTCTATATCAGAGGAAGTCTCTATTAATTACGAACTACAACTTATCAATGGGTATAAAATGCTATTTCGCCATGAATCACCAAACAAATACTCAAGTTTTGGAATAATATTACCCAACATTTTATACTTTTTAATTCTCAACTTAAAAGTGCAAAAAAAAAAGGTCCCAAATCAACAAGTCCAACTTCGAAATACATTCGAAACTCTTTAAGCGAACGTTTGCCTGAAATGCGCAGCGGCGGCTCATTTAATTTTACTCGCTGTGTGGTTTTTGGTTTTTTGTTGTCGTCGTTTAGTTTAGTTAGTGGCACTAACTAAGAGAGCAGTCGATGGATGGCTGATTGAGCGAGAGCGTGTGAGAAACACCCTGTGAAAGTATTCTCGACTCTCGGACTCGATTATTATTATTTGCCATTGGCACATTCGTATCTGTATCTCGGAATGCGGGCCCGAAGTCTCTTAACGAGCCGAAGCCCAAACACACGAAGTGATCTCTCCCACACAAAGGCCAGTAAGTGTAAAGGAGATAGCTTGCTTAGCAGAAAGAGAGAGAATGAAAAACGAACAAGCTGACGAACAGCCGACGAATGTATCTGTATCCAACAACCCGAACGCAACTTCAGAGCAACTTCATTTCTTGAACGGATGTCGAAGGTGGCGGAGCTGACGTCGCGCTTGCTCTTTGTAAAAATACTCGATACCCTCTAGATATATATATATATCAGAGTTATAGTGGATATCCCGAGCATAGTGGATCTTAAATCACTCATACGACGCGTTCTTTTTTTCCATTATCGGCAAGGCAAAAGGCGCGCGCATACGATAAAAACCAAATGCGAATTTAAGAAACGGAAAAACAACACTAAAATATATATACAAACTGATTGTCGCGTGGAATGAAAACAATGTACATATAGTTTGCCAGATATGCGCATTAATTTATCGGCCGTGCCAGAGCGACGATCGTGAAGTGCTGCTGCTAACAATTAATTGCCATTAATTCGCTACAAAAAAACAAAAAAGTGCTAAGAATTCGCGACGGTGTGTGAACTACAAATGCCGCAAATATCTATATTAACAAGTGTCAGCATATATACTCGAATATATTGTTAAATCAATCAAAATCCAAATGAGATTTAAGGGAAATATCCCGCCCTCATGCTTAAAAACTTATCAATTGACCAGCGGACCAGCCAATTGATTAGGAAGCAGCCCGCATCCGAATAAAACCACAAAATCATATACATTCTGTGGTCTCTTCTACTCTGTAGTATCTGACAGTGCAAAAATTAAAATATATATTGTGTTGTCCCCAAAAACCAAAGTGAAGTGAAATCAATTTTAATACAAATGCAAGTAGCACCAGCATAAATTTTAGGGACAAGACATAATCATTTTTGATCAATTGAGAGCTGATCCCGCAGATTTTGCCCAGTTTTTAGAGTCAATGACGTGCACTTTGACCAGCGAGGTGGAGTTTCCGTTTTTGAGTACCGAACATTTTGAAGCAAAGAAATGCCGCCCTCTGCGTTTTTAGTGAATGCCAGCATAATCAGTGCCGCCAACGCCTTGGACAGCGACAAGGAGCAGCAGCTTCAGGAGCATCTGCAACAGCAGCAGCAACACCAACACTTCATAACCAGCAACAGCAACAGTAACAGCAACAGCAGTAATAATAATTGCCAAACGGCGCCCAATTACAATATGGTCTTGCAAAGCTATGAGAACTATCCCAGCTATCATCTGGCCCAGCATCATCATCATCATCATCATCACAGTCATCATCACCAATTGGGACAGCAAACGGCACTGCATCATCATACGATGCAGCAGCAGCAGCAGCAACAGCATCAACAGCAGCAGCAGCATCACCTGCAACATCCCCACAACCAGCAACATCAGCAACATGGTTACGGATCATCTCAGCTGCCACCCCATCATCGTTTATCCGGCGGTAGTACGGGCAGCACCACAACCACCTCCTCCGGCTCTAGTTCGAGTGGCTCCTCGTCGAGTGCCTCCTCGCAGGGATTCACCAACGGCAGCTCAACGACAACAGCTAACAATCTGGTTGGGGCATTGAGCAGCTCCACAGCGGCATCGCTGGGACTGGGCTACTTCAATGATGTGGCGCCGTTTGTGGGCGATGGCAATGCCTACTACACGGACTCGGATGTCAACTTCTTTAGTTCAGGTACAGGTCAGCAAATATTTACTGACATCAAAAACTCAGCTTTTAATTACGATTGCTGGGGTGTGAAAAACAAGCCAAGGGACAGGGGGCAGTCAACAAACCAGAAGAAGATGCGTTCGTTGCGGTGGCATAATTAAATTCGTAATTTGTTTTTAAGTGTTTGACACGCAACAAGTGAGGGGTGGCAAAGAGGGTAAGGGAAAGGAGGGTTTTTTATGCATAGAGAGAAAAAGTTTGGTGTAATTTGAAAGATTTTATAAGATTTTAGTTGGTTTTTTAGTTTAAAATGAGATTTATTTATACTTAAAATGAGTTTTTCTTGGCTTGATTTTAAATAGATTTGCTTTTTGTTTGATTTTTTATCAAATATCTTGTATCTAGTATGTGAAAATTAATCCATACATCTTAGCTACAGTTTCTCAGCCTTAGATTACTATTTTTTAAGATACATTCATTATAACAGACGTGATCATAGTACCATGAACTCAGATTCTAGCCATATATTTAATAAGAACTTAAAACCTCTTAAGCCTCAAAATATTCCTTAAAAAATAATACACTTTTCTTATATAAAAATATAAAATATTCCAAAATTTCCATCTTCATATGATACTTGTTCTAAACATTTAAAATAACTTTTCCTAAAACGTTTAACTAAAGTTAAATATAGTTTACTAGCCCACTTTTCTCTGCGTGTAACAGATTGACCTGGTGATAAGTGGCTTGTTGAGCGTTAGAAGATGCCCTCAAAGCGGCCCCACTGCCTTTAGATGTATCTTGCAGATGCGGATACATTCGTTCGCAGCTCTCTGGAGGCGGCACCTAAAGAGGCGCTGCCAACTCTTTGGCCAGCCAACGGAGGGCTGTATCTGTATCTTTGTATCTTTGTATCTGCGAGCGAATGGGAAACGAAACGAAGAGCTGGGAAAGCTCATTTTTTTCTGTCTTCGCCAAGTGCAAGTGAGATGGCAACACAAAGAGCTGCGCATGTATATGTGTATGTATGTGTATGTGTGTGATGTGCCAACAGGTTTTCGTGTAGCCCACAGATACACGAGTGTACAACGAAATGTGTTAAATTTCGCTGTATTCGCAATTAATGTAGCGTGCACACCATTAGATCGGGGTGGTTATGGTTGTATGAGTGAGTATCTGTGTGTGTCACGCTATGTGTAAGTGTATGTGTTCGCTGTGATTTTGATTGGTTTTCGAAGTCTTTCGCCTCGATTGAAAGAGACGCCCCATTTCTATGAACATCATTTAATTGAAATTGAAAATTGCAAACAATCTGCAATCATTGACAGTTTTTCTAGCGTGTGAAAAATTCTATTTCGCATTTTACAAAGCTGCTGCTAAAAATTTCCCATGAGAAGTTTTCTTAGCTTTTGGCAGCTGAAAAGACATTTTTAATTTATGATTAAGAGGTTTTTTAATTTTAATTTTGATATTGTTCCAAGTATTTGGTGGGGAAAAGTAGAATTTATACTTTTTATCCGCTGTGGGTTTTCCTAGAAATACAGAGTTTAAATTTTGTTTATATGTTTCGTTCATAAATTTTATGAATTTTAAGACGAAATCTTACAACTTCATTGAGAAAAAGCCATTTAAGATTCTTAAAAAAAGAAAGTGGTGTGATGTCAAATCGAAGCTAGAACATCTATATATCTAAGAGATAGTATGACATATAGTTTTCTATCTTTCAATCTCTTAGATATTAAGCTGACTTTCTCCAACTAAACTGTTTTGACTTCCCAAATTGTTATGTCAAATTTAAAATCGATCAACGACCACAAACTATCAGTTACGAACCCCTATATCATAGGCACTATCCATAACCATATCGAATCTCATCCAATTACTAACTATCTTTTCTTTTTGTTACCCCTTCCAGGCTACAACACCAGCAACACACACGACCGCAGCAACAACAGCCCGCCCCCGCAGCAACAGCAATCGCAGCAGCAGCAGCCGACTGTCAATGGCAGCGGCAGTGCCAGCAGCAACAACAACAACAACAACTCCATGCTACCGCCCGCTGCCCAGCAGAATAACAACAACGAAAACAACAACAACACCAGCAGCAGCAACACCAACAGCAACAACAGCAGCGGCAACAATAACAGCGGCAGTAGCAGCAACAACAACAACGCCAATGCGGGCAGCAATAACAACAACAATAACAATAACAATATTAACTACATGACAGCCATGGCGGCGATTTACCAACATCAACTTAAAGAGGAGCCAGGCACTCAGAATAGTAACCTCGGTGGCTATGGGGGAAGCAATAGCCAGAATGATCCAACAGATTTAAGTAGTTATGGCTTACCCGCTCACCTGGCAGCCTATACAGGTGCTGCAAGTGGGCAATCAGTGGGTGGTGGAAGTTCAGGTGGCGGTGGTGGTGATGAAAGCGATTATCACAGCACGATCTCGGCGCAGGATCACCAGAGTCAGCAATCGAGTGGAGGCAATGGCAGTGGAGGAGCAAGTGGCGGTAGCACTGGTAACAGCAATGGTTACATGGACAGCAGTTCGGAGTTCTATGCTTCGTATGCGGGAAGGGGTCGCTTCCATGACGGCTATCCCGAATTTACACCATACGATGCCCAATCCTTCCAGTCGATGGGCGCCCAGCCCACAGCCATGGATCAATGGGGTGCTGCTCATGCGCATCAGCATCCGGCGGCTTACATGAGCACTTTGGGTCTGGACAAGAGCCTGTTGGGTGGTTATACGACGCAAGGTGGTGTGCCGTGCTTCACGGGATCGGGTCCCATACAGCTGTGGCAATTCCTGCTCGAATTGCTGCTGGACAAGACATGCCAGAGCTTCATCTCGTGGACAGGCGATGGCTGGGAGTTTAAGTTAACGGATCCAGATGAGGTGAGCTTGATTAACTTAACTTATGTTTGAAAGTTTAACTAACTTTTATGTTATTTCTTTAGGTGGCTCGCCGTTGGGGCATCAGGAAGAACAAACCCAAAATGAACTACGAGAAACTTAGCCGTGGTCTTCGCTACTATTATGACAAGAACATCATCCACAAGACGGCTGGCAAGCGATATGTCTACCGTTTTGTCTGTGATCTCCAGAATCTAGTTGGGTAAGTAATCAAAAATGATAAAAAGCAGAGTTCCCGGATACTTTTCCAATTGGAAACTGTTTTAGAAAAGTCTTTAAAAACAGAAACTAATCAAGATATTCCCTCTTACAGGCACACCCCCGAGGAGCTGGTGGCCAAATATGATCTTAAGATTGAGAAGAAAGATGTGGATTAGCTGGGGAGCAGCGACGAAGCTGCCTGAATCGGGAGCAAGTCCAGGCGATCTGCTCCAAGCCACGGATTGTACTCAACCAACCGCAAAATACTTTCGAGCGTTATTGTTTACCAAGCGTGATGTTAGCTATTAAGCAGCCCCCCAAAAAATCTGCGATCTTGCTACGAGATTAAAGTGTTGGCCAAGAAAACCCACAACCACCCTCCCCTCCCCCCCTTTTGCTTGTAATATTATCATGTAAAAAATAATTAGACTTTTGAATTAATTTGAAATTAATTTAAAAATACTTGAAAGTTAGTTTTTTAAGACGATCAAGAAGAGTAAAAGAGAACCAGTTGGATATCGATGAAGCGAATTAAATTTGAGAATTCTCTGTGTGCAATGCGATGATGCGGTGTTTCCTCGTCCACACATAGTCTGTAGATGAATGTCAGTTGCAAGGATCGAAAAGTTGATAGAGGCCATATAAAAAAAAAAAGAAAAGAAAAGAAAAGAAAAGCATGTGTCCAACCTTCCCAACCCCACAACAAAAAGTGATATTAGAGCGCAACATTTTGTTATACTTACATAATCATTTTACCCGCACGGGGCACCACCACAAACATTTCAAAATCATGCATGTATATATAGCGATGAGGATGTGTGTCTGTATGTATGGCATTATAAGTTAGTAGGTCTCTAGTATTTATGTTATAACCTAGTACAACTAAGTTTTCCAACTTCCAATGCCTCTATATATATTATTTTCTCTGTTCTTCTATGCGCTTCCGTGCGATCCCAAAAGTTTTAAACGTAAAACGGCACAAAAGTTGATCTTCTATTCTGGATTAACTCTTGTTAGCTTCTATTATATATATAATACTTAGTAAGTAACTAGTGCGTTAATGGACAGTTCAAGAAGTGTTTTATTTACCTTGTAAAATGTGTCTGTCTGTGTGTGTATAGCTATTAACTACTTAAGTCTAGCTCGTAGATGCTTAGCCACGTATTACACGCATAAACATAACGTTATATCGATACATAGATACACGTACATTTGTAGAGCAATTCTAAAATATTGTATTTATACAAGCGTAAATCGTAATATTAAAAGCTACCAATTAACATTGCTAAAATGATAAAACAAAAAAAACCAATAAATGAAAAAAAATATATGAAATTACATCAAAAATGCTATACCTATATTATTCTATCCTAGTTCTCTCTGGGTTACAGCTCAAAGTACATAAAATATATATCGATTGTTTTATTTATATATTTGAAAGGTGTTGTTCAAAATTATATTTTTTAATCTTGTTAAATTGGTGCCTCCCAAAATGTTACCCAATTTGGCAAGAATGGGACTCCAGTTGCGGAGATTGAGAGTTGATAAAATTTCAGTTCGTCTTAAGCATCAGATGCCGGAGAATCTGAAGAAAGTTGAGACCGACAAGGATCCAGAATTCTCGGCAATGGTCCTTTATTACTATCACAAGGCTGCCCAGACCATGGAGCCAGCTCTGATCAAGGAAATGGAGAAATATCCACATCTAAAGCCCGAGGAGCGACAGGCACGCGTCTCTGCTATCCTTAATCTTCTGGGAAGTGTTTCAACCTCGGTGGAGGTTAATTTTCCGATTGTAAGGAAGAATGGCAACTATGAGATTATTAACGGTTATCGCTCCCACCATGTACGCCAACGTCTGCCTCTCAAGGGCGGTAAGTTGTCTTCCCCTATTAAAGAAGATTTAAAGATTTACATTTTTGGCCAAAAAATCAAAATTTGCAAAAAAAATTACAACATTTTGACCTAAAACTGCAGTTCGACTAGAAATAAGAAATCAAGCTCAACGAGGTATAACGTTCCATATTCCTACCATTATTGGCTAAGTTATGGACATTCTAGTGTCGTTTTGAGGAGAAAGTCGGGATAACCAAATTTCGCATTTTCGATAACGGGTAACATCATTTTTTTTTGCGAAAAATGGCCAAAATTTTACATTTTCAACTTTGAATGCAGATCTCATAAGATTTAAAAATCAAGCCCAACGAGGTATGACGTTCCTTATTTTGAGCATTATTGGCTTAGTTACGGGAACAATACCATCATTTTGAGGGGGAAATATGGAGAAATCAAATTTTGCAAATTCGATAAGGGGTAACATCATTTAAATTTGCAAAAAATGGCCAACATTTTACATTTTCATCTTCGAACACAGTTCGTCTAGGAATTAGAATACAAACATTATGTCATTAAACATTTGGACCATTATTGTCCAAATTATCGGAACTATACTGTCATTTAGAGGAGAAAAATGGGAGATAGCCGAATTTCTCATTTTCTCTCATCAAATATAAGCAAAAAACGCATTTCGATTGACGTACTAAGTAGGCCAAGTCTTCTTCTTTCGAAGGGATATCGTTGTTGATATAGTTACTTTTATATTTGTTTAAATATTATATTTAATTTCAGGGATCCGTTACGGCTTGGACGTAGATAGTAACGAGGTAAAGGCTCTCGCCGCCATCATGACCTTCAAGTGCGCATGCGTAAATCTACCATACGGTGGATCGAAAGGCGGCATCTGTATCGATCCCAAGAATTATACTGTAGATGAACTTCAGACGATCACAAGAAGATATACCATGGAGTTGCTAAAGCGTAATATGATAGGTCCTGGGATCGATGTACCAGCACCCGATGTAAACACCGGTCCACGGGAGATGAGCTGGATTGTCGATCAGTACCAGAAGACTTTTGGCTACAAGGACATCAATTCATCGGCTATTGTCACGGGAAAACCTGTTCATATTGGTGGGATTAACGGTCGTCATTCGGCCACGGGAAGAGGTGTATGGAAGTCGGGGGATCTCTTCATCCAAGATCAAGAATGGATGGATTTGCTTAAATGGAAGACGGGCTGGGATGATAAGACGGTGATAGTGCAAGGATTTGGCAATGTTGGCTCCTTTGCTTCCAAGTTTGTGCACGAGGCGGGGGCCAAGGTCATCGGACTCAAGGAGTTTGACGTTTCTTTAGTTAATAAAGATGGCATCGATATCAATGTAAGTGTTAAAGTATTTCAAGATCATGATATCTTCTACAAAGACTCTTTTCGATCTAGGATCTCCTTGAATACAAAGAAGAAAAGAAGACCATTAAAGGATACCCCAAGGCTGAGGAGTCAAAGGAAGAGCTGCTAACGGCAGAGTGCGACATCCTTATGCCATGCGCCACTCAAAAGGTGATTACCAGCGATAATGCCAAGGACATCAAGGCTAAACTGATTCTGGAGGGCGCCAACGGACCCACCACACCAGCTGGGGAGAAGATCCTGTTGGATAAGGGAGTACTCATAGTACCCGATCTCTATTGCAATGCCGGTGGTGTAACCGTATCATACTTTGAGTACCTAAAGAACATAAACCACGTATCCTATGGAAAAATGAACTCCAGAACCACCTCTGAACTTATCATCGAGCTGATGAACTCAATCAACGAGGCTTTCTGTCAGTGCCCATCTATTGGCCTTGTAGGTTAATCATGAATATCCCATTGAAAAGTATTCTTAATTTTGATTATCCTTTAGCCCGAGATCAAACCCAATAAGAAACTAAAGAAGATAAGGGAGTGCACCACGGAGGCGGACATCGTGGACGCAGCTCTCCAGACTGTAATGGAATCTGCTGCACGTGGCATCAAGCAGGTGGCTAACAAATTTGAGCTGTGCAACGATCTGCGAAGGGCTGCCTATATCTGGTCCGCCTTCAAGATTTTCCAGGCCTTGGAAAGCTCCGGTATTTCTCAACAGTGATTTGGAGCAATCACTTACTCTAAAATTTTCAATGAAATTTATTATTATTTATTACCTCATATTGTTAATAGTTTTTTAATTTTCTGAAAACTAAATAAATTTTCATTTTCGAAAATCTTGATCATATATCCTTTGGAATAAAATTCAAATCTTGTTTAAAGTTTTGATAAGATATACATTCAGAAATTTTGTCATAACCCTACGGATAAGAAACCTAATTACAGACTTCTTTGCGATTCAACAAATCCCAAAGTTTTGGGTTACAAATTTAGAAAGACATTCACCATGGATGAAATCAAAAAGTTCGACAAGCACACCTTCCTAGAAAGCTACCTTCTCAAGCACAAGGAGCTTGGCAAGCGTCAGCGCGAGTACAAGAAAATCCTGTCCAGCAAACTAAGGACACGTAAGGAAACGATCATCGAGGCCAGCTATGAGACGGCCATTGACCAGCTGGGGGAGGAGAAGAATGATCTGAGGGCTCAGATATGGGTGGCCAGTGGCACGACACACAAGAAACAGAATAATCGATGGCTGGAACTGATTCGCTGCCATGTCGAGTGCCAGGAGAATCTGTCGCAGGACATCAACAACCTGAAGACTTCGATTTCTAACATGGAAAAGGAAATCAGTCGCATGTCTAAGCAAATATATAATCTTAATCGTTTAACCATTCCGGATCAGCAACATCAGGCCTATGTGATGAAGGCTCGCAAGAGGATGACCATTCTGGAGAACTCCCTGGAAGTGGGTGTACGTCAGGAATGCGGTTTTACTGCAGCCAATGCTGATCTGCGCGAGCAGCTTATCCGCATCCTGAATCACCGCACTTTCTTCAATGATTCCTATACAAAAATGGTGCAGAAACTTAATAGCGAGAAGAAGTATCTCATAGATCTGATCGAATATGCTCTAAATACCTTTGATGGCTGCATTGAGGTTTATGAAAAGATCGATTTGTTGGCCAAAAGAGAAGCCAAGGAGCGGGATCTGCGACGTGTGGAGATGCAGGGCATCATGCGAAAGGTGGCTGCCGATGGAGACAACACCGCTTTCCTCAACTGCAAATCCAAACCCCGAGAACTGGCTGACTTGCAACCCAAGGAATACAAGCGAAGGGACGAGTTCCGACGAGTGCACAACAAAAAGATTAATCTTTATAACTCAGTGCTCCAGAAGATCCTCCAGTACACCGATTCCAACAATATGGACGAAGTGATTGACAAGTTCCAGCAGCAGGAGAGTCTCTACTACTCCTTCTTCAACTATGCCAACGAAATGAGCTACCACATCACGATGCTTAACAACTCGGTGAATCGCCTATTTGAGGATATAGTAAACCTCAAAAAGGATAACTCCAACACCCTTCAGGATCAACTAGACCAGATAGCCAGCCTGGAGAACAAGGTTCGCACTAAGCAGGAATCCAACATGGAGCTGCACAAGGCTAGGGAAAGCAACGATGCCAGGTTGGAGAATCTTCTGCAGGGCGTGGAGACCATTTGTGATATGTGTTCCATTGATGCCAGCCCACTGACCAAGCTCCTGGGCGATCACGCCCATGTCAACCTGGTCAATGTCAATCGATTCCTTAAGCTGCTCGAGGTAAGGGTCCAGGAACTGACGGCCAGCGTTTATGTGATGGAACGACAAGAGGAGGGTCGCTTCGAATATGTGGTCAAGCAGATCGAGAAGATCTGTGAATTGCCCACCGATCTTAATGACATTGTGCTGACCCAACAGTGTCCCGAATGTGCTGAAGGAGAAGCCTTCAACATGGATGAGGGTGGCGATGGTGTCCTTGTCCATACGGTTAAGGAAGCCAAGAAGAAGCTGTATGAGAAGGTCACGCAGCCGGAGATGCAGTACCGCCTGCATAGTATCAGCCAGTGCCGTTTGCCACGTTCTCGTATTTTGGCTGCCAAGCGTAATATGTAGAATGTTATCTAGTTTCTTTGGATCATTGGTGTGCCACAGACGCCCCAGGAAGAAGGTTCCTTATGGTTTTCGTTTTAATTTAAATATTTGTGCAAGATTTTCTGGCTTGAGATCTAACTTTAAAATTCTCTGAATCATCCATTTTCGATCAAAAATAAATAAACAAAAGCTACTATTGATGATGTTGCTCTATAATTCCATTAAAAAAATAAATTTTCAATGTAATAATTTCAATTCATGCTAGTTTTTATTAATTAACAACTAAAAATATAAACTAAATATTCAAATATTGGTGCTAGATGTTTGGTATGTGGAATGCATTAAATATTTTCGAGCGTGGGTGATCATACGAGCTAGTAGATTCTGCGGCTTAGTTCACTTTAAGAACTGGTCTCTTTTTTGTCATCTCCCAAGCCCAATCCGCTGATCAGGCCACCAAGGAAGCTGTCTACGATGGGATTGCCACTGCCAGCAGCGGCGCCAGGAGCAGGAGCTGGTACAGCCGGGGAAACTGGAACAGCATTGGCAGTTCCACAGTCATACATGCGGTTGAGCTTCTGGATATCAAAGTCAGAGAAGCCATTCCTCTGGCCCATCTTCTCAGCTCCATTGGCTTGCTGTGGATGCAAAAATTAAGAATGTAAGTTTTAAAGCAGAAATTCCAGGTGTCTGTAATACTAACCATGGCCAGAATGGTGGGCTGTCCGTTGATGGAGAAGGCATTCTTGGAGTAGTGCATGACACTGCCATAATCATAGGGAACTCCAAAGGCCTCGGTACGGGCAGCCTTCTCGAAGTTGTTCATTGCCGAGGACTGGACATTGTTGTACTGAATGGCCACATAGCCATCACGCTCCATTCGATTTTGTTCATGGAAGAAACCCAAAGCATGCATCAGCTCATGCATGGCGGTTCCAGGACGACTCAGACACCCAGGAGACTGGAGATTTACCTCCTGCTTGCCACCCACTCGACCAACAGAGGACCAACAACCAGAATTATCGGATTTAATGGAGATGTAATCCCTCTCAGAGCTGCGTCTCACAAAACGAATGCAGGTCCTTCGATGGTACTCGGCAATGGCATTCTCGATGGTGGCCATGTCCTTAGCATTGAAGCTTCCACGGATCTCATAGGGCACCACACCATTGGGCCAGCGGGAGGATTGAGTGGGCAGGCCATTCTTCATGATTAGATCCGTTTGGGGCACCAGCATATCTCCCTCCAGGTAAGTGCCCAGCTCCTCAGGATTCATGGCATCCGCATCGGCACTAAAGTTGCCCACTCTGCCAGCGGTCTCCTTCTCATCTGGTTTGCCAAAGAGTGCTGTTCCTAAAGGAGTTAGATCAATGATGTCCTTGCCAAGAATGGGTGCCGCCTCCTCCAGACCATTTCCAGGAAGCTCGATGACCTCAGTGTCATCATCATCGTAGGACACAAAAGGTAAAGCCTGGCAAACGGTTAAAGCCAAAGCTAGGACTAGAAATACTTTTTGGTTCATTGTTGCACTTAGAATTGGTTTAGTTTGGATTCGATTGCCTCTTGACTGAATGTCTAGACTTGAACTGTGCTGTGTTCTAGTCTGGCTGGGATTTATATATTCTCTCCAGCATAATCTCGCCGCCGCCGACGCTTTATCAAACTTTGCCGGTGGCGGTGGCTTTGATATGCATAAACATGTTTTCCACGCGGAAACCTTCGGCGGAGCTGCAATCGTCATCGCTGGCTTCTTGGATTGTCACACGCTTTATGGCCAAGTAAATATTTGGCCAGCGCTCTCGTTAAGCGGTTATTCATGTGGCTGTGGCTGCTTTGCTATTGCCATAAAGTGTATCAGTAGTTTGTTTGCATATCTCTAAAGTTTAACGACACTTTATACGTAATTTTTCGCCCCCAAAGGGATAACCGATAAGCACTATCGCGCTGACCTCTTCACTTTATGGATTTATACCGCCTGCTAGGCGAAGATATTCCGGAATAATTTGCCGACTATTTAGAGTGGAAAGACACGCGGAACACCAAAAAAATAAATTGTGTCTACGGAACTCTATGACACGCTTAACAAATCAAACGAAATGGCATTGAAAAAGTTCAAACCTTAGAAGTACTTTGGAGTACGTGTCTATTAAGAGGAAGACAATTCTTTTCACAGACTAAACTAGCTTTAATTACAATAAATCGTATATATAGGAGTATAAGTTACAGAATGATTGAGAGAACTTGTCTAGGACCACTCTTGGCTGGCCCGAACTAATATGATTCAAATGAGACTTTTGCGCATTCTTAAATACTAAATGTTATTCACATGGCGGTGACTTCAATTGATGGTGGGAAAAACAGAGCTTGAAAATCCCAAGACTTCGCTCATTAGCCAGAACAGATCAGAAAAGTACCGATCAAAGCATAAACATCTGTGTTTGCTCTGGCCACGAATTAAGTTCAAGTGCATGAGACATGTTTGCCTGACTTTACAGTCGAAGCTAAACTTAATGATTAACATAATATATGTTTTCTAGGTATCGAAGCTCATTTCCACCACCATATTGGAATCGGAGTTGGAGTTGGCAAACTCCTCTTCCTCATCGAACTTGAGCTTCATCCCATTAAACTTGTCCGAGTTCAACAACCGACGACTATTGGCTGTGATATTCTTGGCCACATCTCGCAAAGCGGCACTGCAAATCTCATCAATAGTAGCCGAGTCATCCATTAGGTCTTCAATGCAACTCTTAAGGATGGTAGATGTCACAATACAGTCTCTGTTAAGAGCCAAACTCTTGTGGAAAGCTTCTATGGCGGGATCTAGATTGCCCAGCAGAGCATGTATAAATCCTATAGAAGTGTAAGTAGTGGGACTCTGAGGCTTTAGAAGAAGGGCCTGCAAAAGTCAATAAGAATAAGTTAAAGATCGGAAAAGTTACTTTCCATACTGAGACTTACATATTGAAAGTTATAAAGGGCTTCCTCGTACTTATGCACTTTGCGCAACGAGTGTCCCAGGTTGATGAAGAGCGGCTCCCAGCGGGCCGAGATCTCCTCGTTGTTGAGCTTCGCCCGCTGTTTCACAATGTCTACGGTGCACTGGAAGATTGTGGCAGCGCCATCGAAAAACTCATACTCGTACTTAATAACGCCCAGTTCATGGAGAACATAAACATCTAGCGGCGCTATATTCATAGCCTGTAGGAAAAACTTCTCGGCCAGCTCTAGGTTTTTGGTTAAACCACATTCCACACCGATATAGAGCAGCGGCAGATGGCAACCGCGCATCAACTGTGTGGCTTTAAAATATGCAGCCATTGCCTGCTCGTGCTCATTCTCATTGGCAAAACTGTGTCCGTAGGCTAACCAAGCGGGGCCATAAAGTCGATCCAAAGAAGTAGCTTTGGAGAGGTAACGGCGGGCGGGATCGCTTTTGCCAATCATGTCGTAGTAGCAGCCCACGGCGTACCAGGAGATCGCTTTGTCCGGATAGCGATCCACCAGCTTGTGAGCCACGTAAAACAACCTATTGAAGTCGCCGTTCTCCACTAGGCAGGCAATCTGAATAGTCAGAGCGTTGTTATGGAACGGATCCACCTTTAGTAGTCTATTCGAGAGGAAAGACAATATGTAATAATCAATAAAGTACATTTAATTTTCTTTACTTACTCATTAAGTATTCGCAGGCACTGTTTGTAGTCGCAATCGTAGAAACACTTCTCAGCTTCGGAGGCCATTATATCCGTACTGCGTTGCACTCGATCCAGGCAGTCTCCGAGGGAAATCAGGGTGTCTGTGTCATGATCACGCGATCGCCTCCTGCTGAACGAGTCGAACATGGACCTATGTGAGGCATCAATAAGAGAAGAGGCCTTTGAAAGACTCGTTTGCAGGGAGAAAGTTGGTGCCTTGAGATCCTCCAAAACTCTGCAAAGTAAATACATTTAAAGGTGTGCAAAATACTTTACAAATCGATAAGACTTACTTCTGGGCGGGCGACATGAACTGACTGGGCGTAAGCGGCACCTTGATGGCGCTTGCTTTGGGCATCTGAGTGTCCGAGGAACTGGTCTGCTGCACACGGGCTGTAAATTCTTTAATAAACTTGAGTATATCCGGATTAACAATGGGAGATATCTCCTCAGCATTGCGGGCCGAAATTAACTCGTAGTACTTTTTCAGGCGGGATTCGTAGAGTTTTAATATCAACTTGGCGTCCGTTTCGCTAGATTGCTGTGCCAGCGGCAAATGATGCATCAGCTCAAATTCTGCAAGGAACAGAGAGTTATTAAATGTTTTTAGGGGGGGAAATATCAATTACCTTCCCAAGCCATTAGCATCTCGTGCTGAACAAGCGCCTCCAAAGCCTCAAAACAATAGATGGATTTGTGAAGAGCCTGGACATAAAAGTCCATAGCCATGCCGCGATTGTCGAGGGCCTCGTACACCTTGCCCTTCATCAGGTAAATGGATGAGAGGAGTTCGTTCCTATGGTTTTCTTCGCCACCAAAGACGCTGTTGCTCTCTAGGTAACAGCCACTGCCAGCATCAACGGGCTGATTGATCAGCGAGGTGGTCATGACCTCTACCTCTACATTCTGGATGGCTGTAGCTGCTTCCGTAAACTCCTTGGCAGCATAAAGGCTTTCCAGTAGGAGATTGAAGCACGGCAGTGAGTTTTTCTCCAGCTTGTGGTGTTTTATCGTGTGGGCGGCTCGATGGTACTCCCCTAGCAGGAACATACACTGCGCCTGGTAGTAGATATCCCTGGGCTCCTGACCACTCAGTACGGCCACCTTCTCCGCCCAGAAAAGCGCCGTGGAGTAGCGACGCTAAAAATGCAATAAGATTTTTAATCGGACTCTGATTGCCGGCATTTTTATTTAGATTCTTACCATGTCTATAAACTGTTTGACCAACTGCCGGTACAAGGACAGATCAATATGGTCATTAGTGGTGTCCGCACTGGTGTTTTCCGCGTCTCCTGGCATTTTGATTCAGCAAAAAATGGTTTTTATTAATAAGAAATTGTAAAATGTTTTGCTACTTCTGGGCATTAAGCTAAGTGAATAGATCTGGCAACGCTGTACAAAACAGCTGAAGTTGTCATTCACTGGAAACGGTTGTTTACTGCACTGAGAAAAACGAAATTCGGTTGGAATTATTATAACAATAATAAAAGTAATACCACTTAAAATAAATAAAAAATTTTGGTAATTCAAAGAAAGTTTTTTTGATGCAAAGTATTTTTAAAATTACCAAGCATATTATTTTACCCTGCAGTGTATGCAGTATTCGAATTCGGTGTTCTGACATTATATTCAGTGAAATAGGAATATTGGCAACATATTTAAATTTTAAAAATAAAATATTTTCAATTTTTAATAAGATCTAAAAATTTAGTTTCAGACAAAATATTCCCTTCTTTTCGGCAACTTCGTTTACTGCTTCTTTTTTGGCTAAGAAACGTATCGAACCAGTGAGAGGCTTTTAGTTTGAGAGAACGGTTGCAGGCGGTTCGTTCGTTGGAGCCTGGCGAAAAAGTCTATTTAAGCAGAGTTGGTGGCCGTGGCCTGCCCATAATATCAGAAAATCCCGACAAAAATTCAAAAATAAAATATCACGGGATGATATTTCGTTTCTTCTATTAATTTGTATTTGCCCCGGCAAAGTTCGCTAAAAACTAAGGCTCATTTTTATAACGAATTAAAGCATTGCCATTCAACAATCGAAAAGATTTCAACTATCAAAATAGTAAAAAAAATAGTTAACAAAAAAAATGCATCCGTGAGTGGGAAGTTTTGGCGAAACAGTAGCGGAAGGAGAGACGGAAAACGACGAAGGGCGTGCAAGGCAAAAGTAACGGTTCCTGTGCGGCGTGTGTGCGAGTGTGTGTAAAAATGTGCTTGGCGGACGACAAAAGAAACGGGATGCGATTGCGGGAGCGGAATTAAAATTAAATTCACACGAATTTATGTGCGAGGCGCGTGTTTTTGGCAACTCCTGGGTATGTATTGGTATTGCCGTGAGCCGGCACAACAAATTGTTGACAGAAAATCAGTGCAGTGTAGAATAGTTGGTAGGAACAAAAAAAAACAGGGCAGCGGCTCAATTGGCATTCTCTCATTCTCACCGTGCGTATTTTACAACTTTACAACCACACACTACTAGTATGTGCCGTTGGTTTGGTTTTCTTTTGCCATTGCCTTTGCCTTTGGCTCACGTCATCTCTCCAAGAACAACAACAAGCAATCGCCGCCTTAGCTACACAAGAAAAAATAAGGGCGGTTACTTGTGTATGTTAAAATTAAAACAAATTGTTAAAACAATCTAATATTAAAAATTCTTTACTCCAAACTACAGAGTAATATAATCCAATTAATAATAATTGCTTTACCAATTTTTCTTCCTGTGTACACACTTATTCTTACTACCCATTATTCTACGCACAGAGAGAGAAAGAGAGAGTGGAGAGAGAATGAGACAGGGCTTGGCTCCATCTCCATTTTACAACTCCAACTTCACTGCCGCTGCTCATTTCATGCTGATTTATGGCTCTAATAATAGGTTCGCTCAACACACAGCTTCCGAAAGGATTACCACCCGAAAGGATAATGCATAGTTTGTGTTATTGGCGACCATAAAAGGGGACTTTTAAAGTAAACGACCCAGGATTACAGTTAATTACAGTTAGCCGGAGCATTGAAGAGAGATAGAGATAGGGAGAACGGGATACGCCTTGATCGATTTACGGCATTTAACGCTCAAGTGCGTACGCGTGTGTTTTCTTTAAACTCCAGTCATTCGGAAACTACAAAGAGAGCGGTGTACTACACTACTTATAATTAATTCATGCCTATGATATTTTCAGGGCTTTGGAAATTTGCATCGTTGACGAGGCGGAATAATGAATCGATGACTATTTGCTGCTGAAACGGCCACATCTGCCAGCTGTCTTGGTTCGCCTTCGCACCCCTCTCGCTCACTCACTCGCGTTATCCTGTGGAGCCCCCAAAATAGACAACAACAACAAAAACCAGACTCCTTGCCCGAGGCTCTCGGCATCCAATTCGAACACCAACTAGATCCAACTCGAACTTGAACTCAAACCGCAGCGAACTCCAACCAGAAAAGCCTGCGCAGGAGTGAGAGCGAGAGAGAGAGAGACGGTGCGCGAGTAGGTCTCTCCGCCGGCTGAGGGAGAGGGAAAGGAATAGAGGCGGAAGTGGTGACATCTGTTTTGCCGCTTTGTCAGTTTGCGGATGCTGCTCCTGCCGAACACGAACGAACGCGAACGGGCACGAACGAACAAGGCGAGCAACGTGAACAAGTGTGGAAATTGGAATTTTTATTCAAAACAATGCCCCTGCTGCAACAGGTATGTAAATAATAATAAAACCCATTCGCACTCCAGAGCGGTAATTGAAACGCTCACGTACGACTGACTGGAGTCGAAAAGAGAAAGAGAGTGAGAGAGAGAAACAGCAATGGCATGAGCGAGCAAGAGAACTAACGTCATCAGCTGGCTTTTTCAGCTCACCTTCCCAATTGGGATTCGTGAGTGGCTGGCCCGGGATGATCCTAATAAGATTAGTGCCCAACTTTACGCCTGCCTCACTTCTGAGAGTTTTTATCCAACCAACTCACCCACTGAAACAGCTCCTTTTACGCCCACGTCTGTTGCACATTATGAGTAGTTAAATTCGATTAAACTTGCGGCGTTTTGTGCGCCAGACACTGCTGCGCCTCCTTTTTGTCCTTGCTGCTGCCTTGCTGTGGGTGGGCATTTAATTGTACTCTTTGTTGCGCAAAATAGTTGCGTGATTTAATTTCGCTCGCCTTTATATGTTTTTTAATTCACTTAAATGAGATGATTCGATTAGGACACTCGGCGGCACAAAAAAGCGTTGGGAAAAACTGGAAAAGCTTTGGCGGAACAGCAAAAACAGCGCTTAAGTGGTTGCATGTTTTTACAACAGCTTTACAGTTGTCATTTTTGTATTCCTTGAAAAGCTGATCCATATTTCCATATTTCTATTTATTTTAATTTATATTACATACTTATTGGAAAATTTTCAATTAATAATCCATAAGATTCAAGGAGAATAGTACTTAAGATGTCAATTATTGGACATATTCTACATACTTATTTCTCAAAAGATTATTTGTCCCATCTTGATGCTTTCTTTATCGTCTGAAAAATTAATTATGCTCCCTGACAATCCACTTCATATCAATACACATCAAAATTATGTCAGATGAGGCAATTGCCCTTCACCCCACAACATGCGAATTATAATGATTACAACAATATCCTTTATATGATGATACGCACATGCTAACCAAACCCGACAAGTCGCGCCCATGCCCCCGACCCCAGACTTGATTTAAGCGATCCTAAAGCGACTGTCAATATGTGTGACAGGTTTTTTAAGACGTTTCCCCCCGGTCGCCGAAGCACTTGGTTCCATTGTTGGCTATGCTTTTGCTGCCGCCCGTTTGTATCCTTGCCACGTCTTCCGCCTTCGGAAAAAGTTGCTCATTGTCGACTGTGACAGGAGACCCGGACCCGTCTATTGCTCATCATTCAGGCATTTGACGACAGACGACAACGCACAGAGGGGGTTGAGGAAAAGCTGCCTTGACTACGTCAATGGATTGGGGATGGCTTTCAAGAGGAGAAGGCAAGAGATGAAGATGGAGATGGAGGTAGAGAGAGGTATGAGGTATGGTCCTGGACTGCATCCATGGCCTGACAATGGAGCTGCGCATTTGTTACAATGTTTACACAAATATTTAAGGATAATCCGACGATTTCAAAGGGGTTATTATGCAATTTTTCTTCACATTTTATTGTGGCTGCCAGCAGCGGCAGCAAAATGGCAAAAAATAGACCCAACTGAATAACTAAATGCAAAATGTCAATTTCGTCGTGTAAGCAGAGTCTATCCCCCTTGCTGTATTGCTGCTTGTACATTCATATTTATTTGCTGGTAATGCCTAAAATGCGTCTACTTCATGCCAACGTGGCGTGTACTTAATGTCCTTCCCCCCTCTCGAATTATTCATATATATCTATTTTGTTTTTTTCTTCTTATGCATTCATTTCCATTGCGCCATTGCCCGCTGTTTAAAATGCCTATAAATAATATGGGATGGCCTACCCAGAACGGAAAATTTGTCGGTCATAAGAAATGTTGTACATTTTATTTGCCATTTTAAGCCGTGGGATGTGTGATGTCCTGCTCTGCATATGTCCATATCCTGCTGTGACATCGTTTCGTATAGCATTTTCATTTTATTGTCCTTCGGCCAAAGTCCAAGGATGCTTTGGGTTCAGCTCTCGATTGGTAGTCCAAGTTGAGTTCTCTGCAGGTTAGTCCATCTTTGGCTTCGGGGAGTTGGTAACAGGATGTTTTAGGATAGGAGATAGAGAGGTCTGGTCTGGAGATCTGCCTATTATTTATAGTTTATAAGTTTAACTAAATATTTAGTGCGGAAATTTATGGAAATGACAAAAGTAAATTATTAATTGTTATAAAAAAGTGTCCCTAATTGGTGGAATACTAATAGACATTGAACTAGATTTTTAAACAAAATCACTCTCAATAATTTTGAACTTAAAGTCACTACTGCTCAAACTTAAAGCCTTACCTGTTGCTTCCTCAAACCACAACACCATAAACCATACACTTAATAGTGTAATTAAGTGAACACTTGGCCACTTTTCCTAAACGACTGCCTGCAAATGCCAGTTATTAGCCGTCTCAAATTTGATTTCCAGCAGGCAAATCATTGGCATTATTCAAACCCGAACTCGAGTGAATAGATGAGAAGAATGATGAGGAGGAGGAGAAGAAGAAGGAGAAGGTGGGGAATCTTTTCAAGCAAATGATTGTGTTGGGCGGTGGCGGCATTAACAGTTGGTTATGTATACTTAAGTATATGCCCCAGGCCATCTTGGGATGTCCAGGCAGCCAGAGAGCCTGCTATTTCCACTTCTACTCTCAATACTCCTGCTCCTGCTCCTTGCGGCTGCTGCTGGTGGTTGTGTGATCCTTGGCAGACTATTGGAATGTCTCGACATTTCGCGCAAATGCCAAAAGTACAAGGCAGGCTAGGCGACCAAGGCGTCCTCCAACAATGCGGTGGCAGAGCAGCCCCAGGGCACATCATTAAAATGTCGATACCAAGCAAATCACACGCCCGCCGCCAGCAAGAAGGATAACAACCAAGAAAATATCAACCAGGGTGCGTTTGTTGCACAGCGGCCGTTGTGGATTGGGTTGTACCAGTGGTAGTTGGTATTAGGGCGTAGCCCATTGCAATATGAGCCTCTGGCATTTAACAAAAAAAATCAGAAAAGAATAAAAATAAGAGTGCGGAAAATGGCAGAAAAAATGAAAAATACAACAAAAAAATAAAATGAAAAACTGAAAAACAGAAAACGAGTGCAAAATTCAATTGAATTTACTTCGCCAGACGTTGCACACACTACTACTGGGCTCAACTAGCATTTAATGCATTGGCAGTGCGGCATGCGTGGTTGTGGTGTGCTCCACCAACACCAACACGAACACCAAACACCCACTGCCCAATCTCCTCGTGACCCCCTGAACTCCGCCTGATGCCCACCATTATTGTGGTTGAGCGGATGACGAAAGGTGGCCTGGCCGAGGGGGTATCAGGCCTTTTGGCCAATGGAATGAGCATCAGCAGGATGATGATGAGGCATGAAGGACCAGGGATGACGAAGGGGGCAGTAGTAGTGCGGCGGTGGCATATACTACAATGCTGTTGCGTTATCATTAAAAGCGAACAAAAATGCGGCAAAAGAAAATAGAAGCAAACAGCAATGAGCAACAGCAGCATCCAGTCAGTGCAACAACAACAACAACAATAACAGCAACAACAATAAAAGGCAAACCACAAAAGGCCAGCACCCAGTCAGAGGAGTCGCCTCTTGTTTTCTATATCCTAGCAAAGGTTACCAAGAACTCTGTGAAGGGTTTCGAAACGTCCATGATAAAGCAGTTTTGTCCTCATGAGGAGTAGGAGGTCACAAGTCCTCTGTTATGAAAAGTTGACAAAAAGTTTAATCTATAATCTACCAAGGTTCTTATAATGAAATAAATTACTTTAAAATTATGTTATTTTATTTATCGAACACTTAAGATTAAAGACAAGTTCGACTTGAACTTGTTGAAGTTTACATAAAAGAATATAGGTAGTTTATATTAAATCTTGGCAATACTTATTTTGGCTAATTAGGGGTATCATTCTTTTTAGGTACTTTTAGGCGTTAAAGAAAAATAAATAAGATCAAAAACGAGATATTTAGGATAACTCATAAGAAGAAAGTTGACACATCCTATAGTATATTAAATATAGCATACTTATAAGGGCAGTATCAATCACTCTTGATTATTAGAAGAGCAGACTTTTTGGTCTCTCTATTAATCTAAAGTATATTTTCTATATATTTTCTATTAATTATGTATTATCACTAAGCATCATCCATTGGATATCTTTTCCCCTTGCATTTTTGCGACTTTGTTGTTTTTCTGTTTTTAAATAGGCCCGGAAAAGTTGTGCCTTTTTCGCCTCGTGGGCTGCCTAAAAAATGTGCAGCATGCACCCCCCCGGTGGTGGGGAAGCTTGCTTGCACCGCCATTTGGTTAGGAGCTGGAGGAGCAAAAGCACCACCAACAGTAACAGATCCAGCGGCAGTAGGAGTGGCAGATAATACAGTGCGGAAAAAGCGCGTGTTTTATTTCCACTTAGCACTCATACAAACGTGTGCATGTATTGAATGCCTGTTGACGGCTGCTTGTCCCCTCTTTCTCTTCTTCTCCTTCGTGCTACCAACCAACTAAAGCCACCACCCAACATTATACCACCCACCCGTAACAGAGAAACAATAACAACGGCAACAAAGCGCCGAGAATCGGAAATGTTGCCGTTGAAACTGAAATGTCGCTACGCTTCTCTCGTTTGTTTGGGCGAAAGGAGGAGGAACAGGAGGTGTAGGGAGGGGCTGGCTACGCCCATGTAAAGGCTGGTGCTGTCACTGACTTGCCTGAATTACGATATTGTTATTATTAAATGGATGGGCTGCATGCGAAAGGAAGCTGCAACTGCGACTGACTCCGCTGAAAAGAGGGAGGTGTAGTTCCTCCTATACAGTCCTACGAAGACGTCTGCATGCGCTTTGATAGTTGAGTTTTGATCCAGAAAGGCATTTAATGTCTTGTTTTCATATTGCACAGAACAGAGAACGCTCCCAAGGCAAGGCAAGGCAAGGCATGCAGTTATGTAAATATGAAGGCGACACATCGCGTCGTCAAAAGCTGATGAAATGGCACTTCTCCTCGACATGCTCAAACTCAATTTAATTTGCCCAGCCATTGGCATTTAATGAAATGCACAGCACAACACAACACAACACAACACAGCACAAACAGAGGCACCAGCTGCTAAAGGATGTAAGAGGAGGATTCTCGATTCAGGATTGAGGATGCAGGATATGTAGGCGCAGCAATTACGTGCCAGCACTGCTTGCTGTCCTGCAGGCATTTGCATCTTATCGAAGTCCCTGCTAACGTCCCCTTCGACTCCTCCGAACAAAGTTCAAAGTCGAAGAGTTCTCGACTCCGTTGAATGGTTTTTAATTTACAAACATTAAAACGCTTTCGTTCCACGCCTTCATTGCATTCTAGGGAAATCCACTTAGCTGAAGTTTTACTTTAGATCGCAGGAAACTTATAAAACATAAGAACAGGTGAATTGAAGGGGATAAATTCCTTGATTTTCTTGAATCTTTGATTAGGATTGGCCGTTTGTTAGGGGAACAGGTAGATAGGTAGATTGCTTGAAGAGTTATCAAATTTTTGTTCGCTATATAAAGGTAATTACCTAAAATATTCATAATCCAAAACTAGCTTAATACCACTCCAAATAGTATCATTATATCATAATTTTTCAATAGTTTCTTGGCTTATAAAAACTTTGTCGTAAATTGAGTTGCTTTTACTTGATTTCCCCTTTGGCATTCAGCGGTCGTTTTGCCTTCGCCACTCAATTTATAGATCACAGCTCCATAAATTGTGCATCCCGAATCCTTTCAGGGGATTTAAACACTCGCCACGTAATATGCAAACACTCTATTACCGCTGGCAAATTCAAATGCATTCGCCCATAACTCTTATCCTTTATGGACTTGTCCTGCTGCATCTCCTTCTCCTCTATCCCCCTCTTGGCCATTCCATTCCATTCGCCCACAAGTTGGCAACATGTAATCGGCCATAAAAAATTACAACTGTGCATTAACCTCTGGCTGCGGTCACTGAGAGCGGGGGTAAAAATGGCAAAAGGGGCACAGAAGAGGGGAAATCGAAACGAAACGAATCGAATGAAGTGGCCCTTAGGGTTGAAGGGGGAAGCGGGGACAGCGGTTGCAGGGGCAAGAATGGCGACGACAAGGACAACGTCGTTATTGAACGCTTATCACTACATGCCATCAAATTTTAATGCCGAAAACCCTTTGGGCCAAAAAGGACCAGAAGCATTGGGCAAAACGGATGAAAAACAGGAGCAGGACATCTAATAAGTGTTGTAAGCGATGCAAACATAATAATTTGTATGACTTCTGAAAGCAGAAACTTGTAATTTTACAGAGGCTCTGGCCCCGGAAACGCTTTTTAGCCAACCTCCTTCTTCTCTTTCTTCTTTACCCAAACATGTGTGAGTGTATTCGCTAAAATGCAGGCCAGGCCAGGCCAGTCGCAGGACCAGGACCAAATCACCCAAACCCAAAGGCAGTCGAGGCAAATCGCTTGCCAAAAATGAAATGCAAGAAAAGCCCAAGAAAATGGCCAACGGAGAGAGGGTAGAGGAGGAGGCAGAGGCAAAGGCAGAGCCAGAGGAACACAAAAGCCAAGTCAAATGGACATAGGATAAATAACTACTGAGTTATGGGTGGAACGGCTCCTTGGCCCCTTGGCTGACATCTTTGGATCGGACGCAGAGAGATGCCGAATATCTCCATGTAGCCATCAGCTGGCAGAGAGTGGATGTGGTGGGATGGGAAACAACCCGGGCACACAGCAACGCCATTGAATCAAATTTTGCAAATCCTCGACAAGGAAAGACAAGTAGCAGGAGGAGGAGCAGCTGAAACTGAAACAGGAGCTTCGATATATGGGGAAGAAGAGGGCAGGGAAAGAAATTGAGCAGTCAATAGGCCAGGGTGCTATATATGCGTCAACGGGTGGTTAAGATTTTTTGTCGTATTCAATTTCGTTGTTTATGGGCTTTTTTCCGGATCCCAAAAAGTAGTTGTTGGCCGGGTATTGCTCTTTGATTGAGCTGTTACCATTGTAAACTGAGAATTTGGGATTTACGTGTTGGATTTTCATTTCACTTTTAAATAGTATTTTCTATTGTGATTTATAGAAGGTAAAACTTAAAGATTTTACCATCTGAAATACCTTTTAAGACTCGTTTAAAAGTAATTTTTGTCTCTTTTATATTGTTTTAAGAAGTTCTGATTCTAATTTTGAACTAAGATGTACATTTTAGGATCTTTTGAGACTTAAGAACGATTTCTTTCTTTTAAATCCCCAATCTCTAAAAACATCAACTTTTTAAGCATTGGCCGCCATTTGCCCCTTAAAAAAAAGAGCATCCCTGCTTTCCTTCAAGGGCGGTGGCCTTATATACTCGTTAGTCCCTTTGACGCCTTTTCTATTTCCGCCAGCGAAAGCTTTTAGCGTCTTTACTGGTGTTTTTGGAGGGAGAAGGATGCGGTTGCGGATGCGGATGCGGATGCGGACGCGGCCTCGGCATTACAAAATAGCTTGAAGACTATTTGTAATTTGCATTCATTGACGCCGCTTTTTTTATCGCTTGCCACAAGTTGTAACTGTGAGTGGGCGGCGGAGGCGGCAGCGGCTGTGACGTATGTAGGCTAGAAACAAAGTCTGAAATCTCCCCCATATGGGCCACAATGACGCCTCGCCATGGAGCCGAGTTGTCCGGCACATCCTTACATGTGTGTGCGTGTCGTATGTGTATGTGTGTACGCTAGATGTGTTCGTGCCATTTCCGACTTTGCACGTACCTTCATCAAGTTGTCATTCAATTTTTAAATCCATAGCAAGTTTTGTACTTAACATAGTTGTGACATCTTGACAAAGACTAAGGAAGCCGTCGACTGTCGCTCCCCGTTACCGGCATTCAAAACTTGCCGCCGGATGGAAGTTCTTTTCGTTCCCCTGTCAGTCCCCTTTTTATGTTGGCGGTAGATCTTTAACTTCAGGCCATACGCTCCTCCCTCTCTGACTTTTTACTGGATCCATCTGGGCCAGGAAAATCGCATCAATTCCACTCGCTGAACAAGTGAGCAAATGAGTTTTTCCAAGTTAATTTAAGTTCTTATGAGATTTCTTTGTCTGAAACTGATCACTTGAGAGGTTATTGTTCAGTTCGAGTTATGATATAAGCTATTTTCTATTGTCTCTTAAATAGTTAAAATCAGTTAAATTATTGTCTCTACTCACTTTGATATCCCTTTAACTCCCATGGATAATCAAGGACTCCCTGGAGAATCTCTCCTGCAAATCCTCTTTAGGTAACTGGGACACAACTCTTTGACATCCACTCATCAGCTGACCATTGACCGTCGTCGTTGACTTGTTGCCTTGGCTTTGGTACATTTCGCTTTATCCTTATCCCAAGTTCTCATCATCATCATACACATCCACATCCACATCCCAGATAGACACACTTCCTTCAACCGTTTCCGATTGCTGTCACTCCTCGTCTCGGTTTTCAGTTCTCGATTCGTTGGCTTTCTGTTCCGTTTTCGTGGGCTGCATTAATCCGGCGTAATGAGTTGTACGCCATTTTGCGCTAAATTGTTTGGTGAGTGCCTGATAACAATATTTGCACTAATTTGGCATTTTTAAGTGTGCTCCACTGACACTTGATGCGCTTTTAATTGCGCCCAGGCGTTGGAGAGTACTTCACAGGAGTGAGGGGTGTAGAGTGAGAGAGAGCGACCGAGGAAGATTCGGGAGGAGAAAAGTGCGACACAAGGGTCGGCTGCTGCTGTGGGTGCTGCTGGTAAAGTGGGTGAGGAGTGCTCTGGGAATGCTGCAGTGAGGTGGCATTGTCTCCTTGTGGCTGTCCTCGTGCGGTTGCCATGTTGTTGCCACCGTCTCTCCTCTGTCTCTCTCTCTCTCGCTGCATTGCCTGGCATGTGGCAAGAAATGTGAAAGATAAACGATTCATTAGTTGCTGCTGTTGCGTTGCAAGGCAGGAACACTCCCCTTACCAACTTCCCTCCCCCCATGACACACCTTACAAAAAAAAAAAGGAGTAGACTGAGAGACAATAAAAGTTTTGCCAACTGTCGCCCGTTTTTATTACGATTGCAGTTTAAAATCTCTTGCTTGATGTCATCGTTCTACAAAACGCTTTTCTTCCTCTTTTCATTTGCAGTACGACACTCCTGATTGCTCCGGTTCTGGAGGCAACATGCGTGCCCTAAGCGGTGGCTCCACAACGGACCTCCTGCAGAAACACTCGATCAGCTCCTACTTGGATCACCATCAGCAGCAGCAACAACAGCTCCAGCATCAGCATCAGCTGCAACTTCAACATCACCAGCAGCAGCAACTGCAACACAATCTCCTGGACAGATGCAGTGACGATGGATTGATATCTTTTATTAACGGTGAGAAAGAGGATTATAGTTCTTAGGATTATGTCATAAGGTTCTCTCTCAAGAAAAAGTTCTAGAAAAGGTGAAGGCGTTTTTAAGAAATCGCTGTTTTCGGAAATGAAGATTCCCTTAGTATCAAGATAACTTTACAAGATAACCTAACTTTCATTTTAATTATTACAAAACATTTATAGATCAAAAACTTGTAAAAAAGAAATCCCTTTACTTTGCTGTCAAAATCGTTGGCTGCAGGAATGTCAGAACGCCACAGAGAAAATTTCATTAGTTTTTTACTTTTAGAAGTCGGCACACATAATTCGTAGGCACTCTTGTCATCATTGTTATTAAGTTTATTTCATCATACACGTCTTTATCTATTTCCTTTTTGTTTTCAAGTTGGACTGCGTGCCGTGGTCTGCGGTAAAAAAAATTTTCATTTACATTTCGATATAAAAATTACATCACAACTGCAACCGAAAGAAGCGCAAATTTAAATTTTAAAGTCCATTCGAAATTTTAAATAATATAAAAAAAAAATTACATAAAATATAGTCTCGCAAAATCGTCTCCGTCCAAATATAAGCGTTGACCTAGAAGCAGGATTAGTAGTTGAGGATACCCATGCTAGGAGTCGAGAAGCCATATATGAGAAAGTCAGCGATGATGGCGGTAGAGCAGGACTCGTTTGAATTTGGCAGCAACAGCGATGTGAGCGACACAAGTCGCAACCACACAAGCGAGGCAAGCTCCAAGGACCTTGGCAGACTGACTGCCGGCGACGGGGCACAGAACTTGGCCCAAGACGGCAATGCCAACAGCAGCAACAGCAATGGCCAAAGCAACATGGACAACACAAACAGCAACTGCAGTACGCTTAATTTATTAGCAGTTTTGTCGAATATTTGCAAAGTGCTTGAGGGGCAATAGTTTTGATTTATCGATGGGCTGGGCAAACTTTACGATAATTGTTGACATTCTACACTCTACTTACCCAAACCATCTCACTATTTACTTACTCTGTCCAACAGATCCAATCACACTGAACGATCTACTCGGCCTGTGCGGCGGCAATGGTGTCGGCAATAGCCAGAACCAAGCGTTGACATCGACTCCAGTGCAGGGAGGAGGAGGAGGAGGAGGAGCAAGTGGAACTGCAATTGGTGCAACAACACCAACAGGAGGAGTATTACAAGCTGGGCCAGGACTGGGATCGAGCCAGGGAGGAGGAGGAGGAGGACATACCATTACCGCCACAAACAACTCCCATCCGGCGGTCAACTCATCCGCCAGCTTCGGTGGCAACGGCAGCAGTAGCGACGTCAATAATCTACTGCTCGCCAGTGCTGCTGCCGCTGCCGCCGGTGATGGCGTTCAACTGTCCGCCAATGCGGCTGTCTACGCTCCACTAACGCCCAGCTCCACTCAATCATCGGCCTCGCCGGGCACCAAGTCATCCGGTTTTGACTACTTCCAGGTAAGACCTTAGGTGTCGATTTGGGGAATTTCCCCTCCTTGTGACCTTCTACTTCTCTCTCTCTTTAACTGCACTAAATTTGCACTGAATTCTCGTAACTTTTTGCTTGTAATCGTATATCTATCCCTTTGAAAATCCAATCCGTGCTTCACACACGGGTGAACTTTTAAGTCTTATGATTTAAATAACTATATTCCACTCTGTCTCTGTCTCTATATGTTGATGAGTGGGTCGAAAAATTAGTAATTTTTTAAGATAAGTTTGAAACATTTCGATATTTTTACATATAACAGATTAATATAATAGAAAAGTATCTCGTTTTGCTTTGTAGATGGTATTAAGTATTATAAAATCTACTAACTTTATGATTATATATAGAGACTTCTCTTACATAAGAAAATTGCTATATTAATCTTAACTTAACTTAAGATAAAGTTGAAGTTAAAGTTCATATTTCTCAATATTCCAGTAAATATCTTAAGTATATCCTCCAAAACTTCCTGAAATTGTAAACATTTGTGATAAAAATCGACCCACTCTATGTTTGTCTTACATAAAATAACCTTGCAGTGATTTAGCATGTGGTAAATCTTTACTAAAAGTAAATAAAATCTTAAACTAAAATTCTTGCAAGGATATTAAAACTTCGTTATAACGAAGTTAACTGGTTGTCGTTACCGTGTTTCCTTTTCCTCATTTTAATTTATTTATTTGTTTCCATTTTCTTTCTTTCTTTTTGGGTGAATTGGCGAACTTAGTTTGAAAATGTTGCACAAAGTAACCCACTTAAGGCTTTCCAAAGAACAAACATCAGCTTCGATTGCTCTGCACCCTTATCGCCAAGTACGCCTACATCTATTTACAATCGCTCCTTTCACAGTTCACCTTTAGTCAGGTAATAACCGAATTATGATAATGTGTGGCACTATCTCTACTTTATTTGACCATCTTGATTAATCGAGTCCCTGTTGACCCTTACAGCGACAGCAGTAATTCTTCGAGTGGCATTGGTCTCTCCTTGGACTCCATCAACATGCTCTACCACCAGCAACAACAGCAACAACCACAACAGCAGCAGCAGCCACAGCAGCAGGGTTACTCCAATCTGGGAAACTCTATGGGCAGCGGTTTAGGTCTTAGCCTGGCGAATGCCTCTACGCGATCAAACTCGCCAGAAAGTCAGAACAGTGGGCAGTCAATCACCGAGCCTAACCTACTGGACATGATTGTAAGTCTTGAAAAAGAAATATTTTTTGCACTTTTCTAGCGAGCTTAGATTCTAATAAAAGCAAGAAACTTTTGATTTTTCCATCATTTATTAATAAAAAAAATATTCAAACGCCGGACTTAATTTTTGTAAAATATTTTTTTTAAGTTTTTTCTTCAAAATTGCAGTTGTTAATAGTTACAATGGCTAAGGTTTTATATAGGGTAAGACCAACATGGTATCCCATTAACCATTAACCATTGTATCCTCTTCTAATGATTAAAGTATCTCAAATTAACAATCTACCAACTACTTTCAGAATCTACTGTCTGTGAATAGCAATAAAATAGCCTCCATGCAGCAGCAGCAGCAACAACAGCAACAGCAGCATCAACAGCATCAACAGCAACAGCTGCAACAACAGCAGCAGCAACATCAGCTGCAGCAGCAGTACGCCAATCTTAATAGAAGCTACGAACAGCAGTTAGCCAATGGAGGTGGCCAGCAGCAACATGGCTACGAGCAGAATGGCGTGGGCGTGGGAGTTGCTAGCGGAGGCAATGAAAATTGCCTTAGTCAGTATACCCTGGAAAACCTCGCTAGCGTGGACATGGAACTGGCTAAACTGCAGAATCTACAGCGGATCAACACGCTGAAGTTGCTGCAGGCCCAGACGCAGCAGATGCCACTGATTAATCAGCTGTTACAGAGCTATGCCGGAGGCACCATAGGCAATGTTGCGGGTAACCTGGTAAACTCGGGAGGAACACCGATCGTTACAGAATTGGCGGGAAACGGTGGCGGAGGAAATGGGACCACCAGTGATGGTCACCTAGATCGCGTGGCGAAGTTCCACAGAAGCTCGGCGGCCTTATGCGATGCCACATGCACCTGGAGCGGACAGCTGCCGCCACGTTCGCATCGTATGCTCAACTATTCTCCCAAGGTCTTCCTCGGCGGTATTCCCTGGGACATTAGTGAGCAGTCGCTTATCCAAATCTTTAAGCCATTTGGATCTATCAAGTAAGAGGATATAAAATCATTAATCAGCTTCTGACTAACATAAAATCTTGATCTTAACAGAGTGGAATGGCCTGGCAAGGAGCAGCAGGCTGCGCAGCCCAAGGGCTATGTTTACATCATCTTTGAGTCGGACAAGCAGGTTAAGGCCTTACTTTCGGCCTGCGTGGTCCAGGTGGATGACTCTCACAGCGGCAGTAACTACTTCTTCAAAATTTCTTCCCGTCGCATTAAGTCCAAGGATGTAAGTTTTACGATAACTATTAAAAACCAGTTTTAATATAACTTCAATCTTTAAAATCAGGTTGAAGTCATACCCTGGATAATCGCCGACTCCAATTTCGTGCGCTCCAGTTCCCAGAAACTAGATCCAACGAAAACTGTGTTTGTGGGTGCCCTACATGGAAAACTTACAGCTGAGGGCTTGGGAAAAATCATGGACGATCTTTTTGACGGCGTGCTTTATGCTGGAATTGATACGGACAAATATAAGTACCCGATCGGATCGGGACGTGTGACCTTTAGCAACTTCCGGTCCTATATGAAAGCTGTTTCGGCTGCCTTCATCGAGATTAGGACCACGAAATTCACTAAGAAGGTACAGGTGGATCCTTACCTGGAGGATGCCCTGTGCTCTATATGCGGAGTGCAACACGGTCCCTACTATTGTCGGGAATTGTCGTGTTTCCGGTGAGTTTATTAATCTATATTTGAGACTAAAATTCAAATATTTGATTATTCTTGCAGATACTTTTGCCGCAGCTGCTGGCAGTGGCAGCACAGCTGTGACATCGTCAAGAATCACAAGCCCTTGACACGGAATTCCAAGTCACAGAGCCTGGTTGGCATTGGACCATCATCATCGACTGTTTCGCTGGCCTCATCTAGCCATAGTATTCGGGAAGACAACAAGATGGGTCTCAGTCAGCAGCATCAACAGCAGCACCAGCAGCAGAAACACCATCAGCTTCAACAACAGCAATCGCAACCGCATCCGAACCATAATCTGATGGGTCTCTCGGTAGCTGCCAGTGTCGCCGCTGCAGCACCAAAGTTAACCTTCCAGCAGCGACTAATTCAAAAGGAAAAATTGCATTATCAGCATCACCAGCAGCATCAGGCGATTTAGACTGCTACGCAGGCTTTTATCCGGAACCGTTTTAACGGAAATTTGGACTTTTAGGCAACGTAGAAAAAAATTCTATTGCAGCCGAGATGGAGACACCGGGACTTATCATCGTCATTATCATTGTAAACACAGTTTTATTGATGTGTATATTAGATCGGTACGATATGAAGCTTACACGTTGAATTTCCTTTAAGGTAAATTAGTGTTTAGTAGGTCGACACACCCCCAACACCAAACACCCTCGAAATCGAAACGAAAAAGACGACACCCCCATTCTACTACTATTTTTTGATAATCATGCTTACATATCAGCATTTGGAGCTGGCATTCGAATGCTAAACGAATGATACATGAAATGAGCAATTTCATTTACTCACAGAAAGAAAAACCCATAAATCAGCTTACTACTCAAGTTACTTTTTTGGCTAAGAAAGCAAAAAAAAATTGATTTCTAATTTTGTAAATGTCTAATTTTTAAGCGAACAGAAAGAAAGGAAGCCGCTTTAAAGAGAGGTTTAGGATTATCATATTTGTTATGTTTTGCGCTATTACTGAGGAATTTTATGTAGTTTCTTTTTATATAGCCAAGCCCCCATAAAGACCCGAGTTAATATGATTAATAAGTAGTATTATCATATATGATTTGGATTGTCCGTTAAGCGTTTATCAGGGAATTTCAATTTTTAAGAAAACATTTTAAAAATTGTAAATTCGTTTAACTCACAAGTCCCCCCTATTTTTTGTTACTCATTGAATTTTGTTACACACCTGAGTTATTATATATATATAGCCATATATATATATATATTGTTTAGTTTTTTGTTTTGGATTAGTTTTAAGCATTATCATTGTGAAGATTAGCACGCGATGCTTGATGATTGATTGATGATTGTTAAACTTTGTTTTAAGAACTTATCTTTCTTTGGCTTTTTTGGCTGTACCAGTTTTAGAGCTCATTGGCTATTACTAGGCCTATCATTTGTCAATATTAATTTCATGTATTTTTGAGAAAGGATCTCTCCAGCGCTTATCAAAACTAGAATCTATATGTAAAGAACCAGATATTACATATTGTAAACATGATCACAAGGCTTTATATAATTTAAAACTTATTAATTTTTGTAAAACCTATCAAGATTAAGGGAACCTAACTTAAAACAATACCTTTAAAAGAAAACTAAATTGATTAACTAAAAAGAAAAAATAACACCACTAACACACACACGTACTCACCAAAAAAAAACCAAACAAATATACAAAAAATCGCTTTTGAATTCGCCTTGGTTTCATTTTGGCAACACTTAATCCACGCTTCCCATGCTAATTGTTAATCTCACTTAAGATGAAAACGAACTTTAAGTAACTTAGTCTAATATCAAAAGTTAAATTCAAACGAATTTAAGCATAAAAACAATCAAATTACTTTACCAAGCAACTGAAATACTCCAAAAAAAAAACAAGAAAAAGAAAAACCAATGTAATCGAGTAGTTCAGAGAAAGAAAAATTAACGCTGCGGGTGTTATGTGACATTTTAAACGCATTACTACTCTCTAGGCATTAATTGTTTTTAGCATTATTAACTTGGACATCACAACACTTTAACACACACACACACGCATTACGATGAACCTACAGGGATTTTATGGTAGTCTTCGAAAGAAACAAATTAAAAAACAACAACTAAATAATTAACAATAATAATAATAAAAAAACAATAATTGAGAACGACGAAGTGTTAAGAGACGAAGGCTAGAACAAGGCTGCAGACTAGTTGAATTTGTTTTAGTTTTTAAAATATAGATTTGCAAAAATAAGCAATTTTTAATTAACCAATATGAGAAGAAAGAGGAGGGATTGCGGGTCTAGGGTAAACATGGATGCCTCTTAGTGTAACGGTTTCTGTTGTAGCGCCAAACTACCTAGCTTAGTTTTTCCTTTTTGGCCATGGACATGGCCGGAAGTGTGTATAAGTAGCAATAAACCCCCAGACCCACAAAAAGTGCATTGTTATTAACCATATTTACCTAGCTATATATACATATATATACACGTACATACATATTGCCTTCGATTAGGAGCGAGGAGAAACCCAAGCAAATCACCCACTTAAATCGCTTTAATGCCAAACCACAAATCAAAAAGCTTATTGACTACTTTTAATGCAATTACTATATACGAGTATATATATATTGTATATTCCACATCCTTTTGCCTACCAAGCGAAAATCAGCCTGGAATTTGACTATACATCATATATAGTTTGTAAAATAATGGATATCAGGAGTTGCGGAGCATAAAGAGATATACATTTCGCCGTAATACTTAACCTATAAATACCATAGACCCAAAAAACTGCATAAGGAATACGAAAACACACACACATATATATATATATTTTAAAGACAAAGAGTTAGGGATAGACGAGGTGGTAATACCTTAACCTAAGCTAGACAAAAACTGTGTACAGAAGACATACAGATTAAAATGGTGCTTTAGCTGAATTATTAGTAATCGTAAGACTTACCTTTTGGGATAGGAAAACCTAAATGCTCCAAGAAAATACCTTATTTCACTCGTTAATGAACGTATCTTTTTTAAACTTAATTTTTTTAGCCTTAATAATTATTAGGTGTGTGTTGATGGGTAAAGGAGATCAAGGCAGTACCATTATTTTATTGAGAAAAACCAGCAAAAATGTTTCAAAATCTATTGGAAAAACCAAAAGTGTTTTTAGCTCGCATTTCACAAAACACACACATTAAACTAACACTAAAACACATAACATTTTCGTAAACAATTTTAAATAACTATAAAATTTACCATATTTTTATTAACCAAAGGGAGTAAAATAAAGAAATGCCCCCACACATTGACCAGGGCCAAACTTTTAAATGGAACTTTTTAAGGCTATTTCGGCAAGAATCAATATTGGCGACTCTGAAATCTCGATCGTATGTTAAACAGTTTTACTTTAATGTTTTTAACGCTTTTACAAGCTTAAGAACCAAAAATACATAACGAGAATTTTAAATTAACACGCAGATTTGTGTGTGCAAGCAAACAGTTTTAAACTTTTCCACACTGGCTTTTCAATTTATTTCAAATCGAAACATTATTTTATTTCCTATCAAAAATCGAACTAATAAACTAAGAAGATATATTAAACAAATGTATCAAAGATTAAATCCAAATATGTGAAGAACAAAAGAGACATACACACAAAATAAAGTTTAAACGAAATGTAAAGGAACCAAAATCGAACGCTTCCCACGCAAAACCGATAATATTAAATTTTAGCAAAGTAAAAAACTAAAAAACAAATGGAACATTAAGAAAATATGCAAAGCGTAATTAGGCAACAATATATATACATATATATATATAACATAATAATATATTTAAAAAAATAATAAACATATTTTACTGACGCAAGTCATCTGGATTATCTATACCGTCTACTTTTAAGGCATTCTACACTAAAACAGAGTAATTATTTTTAAACTCAGCTAAGGTGCAAATCAGCAATGAGGAAGTTCTATCGAATGGGGAATATCTAAACTTATGCCGATATCTCTTACCACGCATTAACTCTAACCTATATACTGTACTCTCAAAAACTAACTCTCCATCATATAAATTAACTAATCGTATTCGAAAAACAAACCAAACCCTATATACCAGATATTTTTACTATCGTACTATTACTACTGATTGTACTGTATTTGTCAACTGTATTCAAAAAGACACAAGCGAACATGTGAGACACATTTTGGGGGAACATTAAGCAAAAAACTTTGCAAATTGAATTTTAAACCAACAATATTTGCTCGGCAAATGTGTAAAAGTTAGCGAATTAAGTATAAGAATGCAATAAGAACGGTTTTTAAAAAGACTATTATACAACCTATATTTATACACCAATGATATATATATATATATATATATATATATATATATAATAATAATTCAGAACGGAATACTAAGCTTTTAATGCAATAATCAAATACCACATATATATACTATATATACATACACGTACATATATATATATATACATATATTTTAATAATTACTTGAGGGGGCAATCGAAAGGCGATTCATCTGAGTTAGGCGCCCCCGGAAATTCGTATACTGTTATAGCAGATATTAAGAGGAAGGAAGGATATTTAGAAGAATATTTAGTAGCGGGCGTCGCAGCTTCCTTGCATATAAGGAAGTTGACTGGCGGCCCAACTAATTGATTTTCCCACCTTATATAGGAATATAAACAAAAATTACTGCAGTGCCATTTTAAATAGCTTCCGATAAGTATATAAAATTGATACATAAATACCTAGTACAGTTGGTCCTTAGTTTTTTGGGGTCCTCTACTAAAGGTCTAACTTGTTCTTAACAAGGAAACTATCTGGAATCCAAACACAGAACGGAAATACAGTTTGAAAGTAAGAAAAAGTTGGATTTATATAAGAAAGACCACCATAAAACTACGGACACTGTCTTTATGTACTAATATAATTATTACATATTGTTATGAGCAAGAGTTCAAATTGCATTATGGTTATAACGAACACGGAATACACACACAAAACAACAACAAAAAGCAAATGGAACAAAGTTGAACATATTTTGAGTGCATGAAAATTTTTTGGGAACTTTTTGAGGCTTTTTTTGTAAATGGAGCGAGAAACTTCAAAAACGAATATGCAATGAAAAAGTGGAAGAAAACGGAGAAATATTTAAAAATAATACTAAATACAATAATAAAAAAAAAGTATATATATAAACTCATGTAGCTAGGTATATTATCGAAAATTAACAAATCCCAAAGTATATAAATATATCTATATATGAAAATAACGAGAATTTTTATGAACCCCGTTACGGCAACAACAGCAACAAGAACAACATAAACATAAACAGCAAACATTAAGGGCTATAATAAAAAAAACCGATAAACACACACAACTTCACATTCATACTTCGTACATTTAAAGAGCTTACCTTAACGATGGTGGCAGTCAAGCAGAGCAAACTAACATAAAAAAGAAAAACAAAGATAATAACTAGTAATTGTTAATATTTACGCGCTTGCGGCACAAACAAGCAAATAAATTATGTACAATGGAAATATATTTACTAACGAATGTTATTTTTAACCAAAACCAAGGTCAGCAGTGATCGGTTCCCTCATGTAATCTATAAATCCAAATATTTAAACTTGAAAACCATGCATAACAAGTATAATATATCAGACATATGAGTATTTTAAATATGCCTAAGAAAAACATTGTATAAACTAAATGAAAACGACTGCTAAACCGACAAATCGTTCGTGTGAACAACAAATAATATATTAATAACTCTGGTAATGAACCCTCGCCGGAGGGCTGACAATATATATATACGAGCGGGAGCCTGTACATTAAGTTAAACATTCTGCTGGGTTACGAAAAGGGCAAAAACACAAAAAACCAAAATATATAAAATGAACTACATGTATCCGGAAACTAACTGAACACAATAAAAAGAAGTAACAGATAATAAAGGACACACAGACCAAAAACTAGTTTTTCTTCTTTTTTCACCATTATTAAGCTTGTATTTTGTGCTTCTTTAAGGAACCTACTAACTAAACCACTTTCGAGTGCCGTAATTAATAAAATCAACGTACAAAAAACGCGTTACCGACTAGCTTAAAATTCTGATCAACAAATACGAGTACACAGATTGCAAATACAATGATGACGGCTCTACTACTTGTTCAGTCTTCTCTTGGCAAAGATCTGGTAGATGCCCAGGCCAGCGGATAAGGTGCCAATGGCTCCAACTTGGAGAGTAGAGAGCTTGCCGCCCCACAAATAACCCTTGGGCAGTGTACTGACGGCGTGTACAAAGTCTAGGGAGATGCGAACGATGGAAACCATCTCCAGACGATGCTTGGTGATGGTTTTGATATCCAGTCTGTGAATTCAAAAAATAACTTAGTTGTGATTTTTGGAAAATGTTTTTACAACTACTTACTCATTGATATTCTTAGTACGATTTAGTTTGTCCTGATTTAAAGAAAAATTCCGCATTGTCCTGGAAAAAAAATCAACGTTTTGGCATTGTTATATATTGATTTTGTTGCATATCTTACCTCATGAGGTTCAGGTACACCGAGAGAACCCAGAATATAGAGCTCACATTGTCCCAACTATCTGCATTCTTGACATCCACAATCTTGTGCTCGGCCAGCCAACACACCTTCTCAATAGGATAATACAGCAGATCCACTATATTGGCCGTGACTCCCAGAACAGCCATTATACGATCAGGTTCATTCTCACCCAAACCGTACTCCAAGGCATACTGGATCATAGGGATGTCATCAATGAGTCGTAGGGTGGCCCTCGCACCAGAGATCTTCGAGCTGGCGGTGGCATATCGCTTGGCAAGATCCGGATTCCGCTTGGCATGGTATCCAGCCACCAGTTTGGCACTGTAGCACAGCGCCTTCATTACCTAAAAATAAGAAATATTCTGGGTTATTAAGTATAATATATTCTTGAAGTCGTAATTTGTACAGCTTCTCCGCAATTTGTTGTTGAGCCGAGTGTTTGTTTTATCACGAGAGGTTTGCATCTCTGTTTACCTTTACATGACCCCAATAGGCCGTCATCCCTGCATTTTATGGAATTGCTTGGTTGTCACAAACAGATAAAATACTATCAGCGATAAAAAAAACACAGCGAATGCCACAATCATCTCGTCTGATGGCTCCCAGTGGAGTGGTCCTACTACCAGAATGGGTTAAAGACTTCGTAGTTTACCCATTAATTCTTCAGTTTGTTTACTTTGTCATCAATGCATAAGTTATGTATTGGGAAGGTGTGTATACTAACCTGGTATATAAGACATTTATATACCCTTCTAGTTCTAGCATTCCAAGCTTTAAATGTTCTATACCATTCAATGATGATCATTTAATCTTTAGAATTAACTAATTCATTTGCATAGGTTTAAAAATACTGTTGTAGAGTTCATCAGATATAATATATTATTTCCCATTTTAAAAACCTCTCGAAACTTTGTATAACCCCTGAAAGGGTATAAAAAACATGAGGTGGTGGAAGAGTGGGTGTTATCTAGTGAATTGCGTGTTCCTATATGGGCCAAACCAAACAAACCTTTCGTTCATAACGTATTATCCGCTTTATCTGGCAGCGGGTTAAGGGTTTGCCGGCTATAGTATTGAGCATTATCTTGACTCGATCGTCGCCAAATAGCGACTGATAAGCGGAGAAGCAAAAAATCCATTGCGAAAACGCAAGAAGTAAGGCAAGGTCCAAGCTGATGAAGCTTCCTTGTTCAAAACCTCCAGTTCAATGCCAGCTTCAATAAGCAACAACAACAATGAGAAAACCTGTTGGTTGACTTTCGATTTCAACCGAGCCCCTTCAATGGACCAGTCAAAAACCAAAACCAGTCAATATGCCACGATGCATTTTTTTTTATAAATTTGCGCATATTTGAAAAATTACGTGGTTAAAAAACGTAAACAAACAGGTGTGCGGCTAATTATTTGGCAATTTACTTCGTTGAATGGGCCGGGTTTTAATTTTTTACCTTATCTCGACCGCCATAGGAATCGATAATATCACAGAATTCGTTCACAAACTTGGTCGTGCTGCCCATTATTGCTCGTTTAAAAGACCAGGTACTGTTTTATATCAGCCAAAAACTCGAACTGAAACACAACAACGAAAACACAAGAAGTTGACAATCGCAGGCGGGAACCCAACAACACAATCAGCTGATGGTCATCAGTGATGGCAGCTCCATATTGATGTAGCTAGTCTTACGCATTGGAAAAAAAATCAAACAGAAAAGGTTAATCGAAGTCTCTCAAATATTGACAAATTCTTTTCACAGCACCATTATGTAAGAAGAAATTTTAAATTTGACCGAATATGATAGTTATTAAATTTAATAATGTGGCAATAATAATAGTGACTGTGCTTATTTTTTAGCTAGGAATTAAGATTTGCCAGCACTAGCGACAACAAATGGTAGAGCAACAGCTGTTTCAGTCGCTACCGATAGTCGCTATCGATAGACACTGACTATCACCGTAATCGGACGCTACAGATATCGGACGCACTGCAGGACGGGATCAGGATACGAAGACGGATTCGGCGTGGATTACACTTAACGATGAGCCTGCCAAGCGCCAGCAGCCACGGCCACGCTGCGTCGCCCGTCTACAGTAACAGCAATAGCAACAGTAACAACAAATCGAGTACGGGCAACAAAAAAACCTCCTCGAAAAATGATTTACTGCGCTGTGCCGTCGGTCTTTTACTGAAACAGAAAAACTACGTGGTAAGAAATCTCCAAATATAGTTTTCAATGTAATTAAAATCCATTATATCCCCCAGAGTAACGAAAGATTTCGCCGCTCGGATTTTTTGCTACTGCAAAATAAACAGCAGTTCGCGGTAAACAAAATGTTGGACACGGATTTGCACGATGGAAATAGCTTTACCTACTCTAATGTCCAGGTGATTACCAACAACCAACACACAGTGGACCAACAATTTGGACGGTTCTCGGTGTTCGTAGAGGCTCAAGCGGAGCCACTGCGTCTGGAAATGAAACGCTTCTATGGACCAATGTTGTGTCATTTCTACCTGGATCTCCTTAAGGCTCGAGAACCGCGAGGCGCAGTGGAGTTGCTTCGAAAATATGCCCACTTGGTAGCCCCTGTCGATATGTACGATGCACCGCCGCCCACCAAGATTAACGGCTGTTCCACAACAGCCAATGAGACCACTTTTAATATACGTTTCGCACGGGAAGCCCAGGATACTGGGGACACGGAACTGGACTACTTCATGCGCCTGGTACAAATCCTGAGTGGCTACACACGGTTGGAAGCAGCAGAACTGGATGATACAGTGGCTCACTTTCGCTCCTCCAAATACGAATTACATACCACAGCTCAAGTGGTGGAGAGGATTTGTAGTTATCTCCAGCGGCGGGGTCATGTTTTGATTATGAACCTACTTTACACTTGGTTACATGTCCACATCGTGGAGAACGAACAGCGAGCCTTCAGTGAAGATCACCTGCTTGGCCTGACGGATGACATGGAAGGTGAGGAAGCAGAGGAGGATATCGTTTCTAAACCAATAGTATCCCCAAGTACCCGCGGAGATATCAAACCAGGCAAATCCTTAACAGAGAAATCTAGCCGAAAGCGACCCGCTGAGGAGCCAAACATTAAGATAGAAACAGACATCAAGCAGGAGATTAATACTGATGTACCTGCAGAGCCCAGCAAATCCCAATTGAATATAGACGCCTGCTTGGACACACTCAAATCATCCACTGAACAGATACTCAAGGCCCAGGTGGAACTACCGCGATTTCTCAGGATCAGCGAGCGTTCAGGGGGCCTCACCTCCGCCCACTTGGATCCCACTGAGTGCCACCTATTAGCCGGGTTCGACAACTCTGCCGTACAGCTGTGGCAGCTTAACCAAAACAGTTGCCGCGGCAAAAGCTTTTACAGGCGCTATCCGCAATCACAGTGCCCATGGGAGCTGAACAACTGTGTGGAGGAGGAGGAAATGGAACAGGATGAAGAGGACAGTAGCGAACAGGATATAAAGTGCTCTGAAGAGGAACGAAGGGAACGCAACCGGGCTCGGCATTGCAAATATGCTGACAATTCCTAGTAAGTTTAAAAACAAAGTTTATTTCTCATTATAGAACCTAAATCACTTTTTTTTTTAGCAACGAATACGGCGGATTGCAGTTACGAGGGCACACGAGAGGAGTCACCGACGTGCGCTTTTCCGCCCATTACCCACTCATGTACAGTGTGTCCAAGGACACAACCATGCGGTGTTGGCGGGCGCATAACCTTCACTGCGCAGCAATATACAGAAGTCACAACTATCCAATATGGTGCCTGGACGAAAGTCCGGTTGGTCAATACGTAGTCACGGGCTCCAAAGATCTAAGTGCGCGTCTCTGGTCGCTAGAGAAAGAACATGCGCTCATTATTTATGCCGGACATACGCAGGACGTTGAGGTAGAACTTTAGAGTTATTAATATCGTTAAGCCACATATAAATTATTATAATTTCTTTTTCCCCAGTGCGTTGCCTTTCATCCCAATGGCAATTACATAGCCACCGGTTCGGCAGATCACTCAGTGCGTCTGTGGTGTGCTACCAGCGGGAAACTGATGCGAGTCTTTGCGGACTGCCGTCAGGCGGTGACCAAGCTGGCCTTCAGTCCAGATGGAAAGATGTTGGCCGCCGCCGGAGAGGAGACCAAGGTGCGGATTTTCGACCTGGCCGCTGGAGCACAGCTGTCTGAGCTCAAAGATCACTCCGCGAGTATTAGTTCTCTATCCTGGAGCACGCACAATCGGCATTTGGCCACAGCCTGTTCCGATGGCACCTTGCGATTGTGGGACATCAAGAAACTATCGCCAATGGGGTAAGGTTTTCCATGGGAATAAAATAAGAAAGAGTGTTCGTATTGTTTATCATTTCACAGCGACAACAGTAGTGCTGGAAGCTCTTCATCAGCTACAACGAATCGTGTGCTAACTCTCAATAGTTCCTGCCAGCGTTTGGTCGATGTTTTCTACGGGGACAGTAAGACGCTTTACTGCATCGGCACCTAAATTATGGATGAAACTGAAAACCGAATGAAAGTTCACCTTCTCATGGTTTATGTTTGAAAATAATTTATTTTTAATAAGTCTGTATAATATTACTGTTACTATCGTGTGAAACAACTCGCTTTCCTGTCATTTCCTTTCTCTCTCTATATATATATAATTAATTCCCTCGCTCTAACAATCCGTGATGTCTTCAAAACAAAAGTGATCTTTGATAGCTTCATGGTTTTGTTTCCGTTAGCTTTCTAGTGGAATAAAACAATTTTGATTACAGTGTAATGCCTTTACGTGCATCGCTTACTGGTCAAAGCTGAAGAAGCTTTTTGAAAATGCGGATATGTCATAGATTTAATGACTTATTTTTTATAAAAGTTATAAAATTTGTAAATATTAAAGTTAAGACGAGTATTATCGTTCAGAATAATCGCATTTGAATTTGTTTTAACACAATAAAATAGTATAACAAATATGTCGGTGTACTTAATATAAATTTTTTTCTTAATATAATAAGAACATTTCACCAAAAAATCTAAAATTTCTATAAATCCTCATAACTAAATATTTAAAAATAAATTTTATTAGCGATGCATCTAAAGACATTTAACTGTATTCCAATAATTTAGGAGGTTTGATATAGGATTGGGTTTACATTTTCGTGTAACATACATTATATACAATTGATTTGCATGGAACCTCTATGATTTTGGACATTCGCACAGCCCTCTGGGACAAAGAACATTGAGCTTAATCTAAAAGTAATGTTGGATTGATCAGTCAACATTCTTCTGATCTTTAAATTATCAAATTTCATAAAATTTTCATCCTAGCTTGTTGACTGCCCCAATAGGATGCAACAAAACGTTGTATTATTCGACTTTCAATATTTATCTTGTTGACCTTGACTTATTAACTAATTCAAATATGGGGCAGAACATGAATAAATAATAAATAGCATGCAATTTTGATACGCATGCAGACAAGAGCAGTCCAATTCCGCGACGCACTGGGTAACAAAAGGTCTAATATCACAGTGTCTCGTTTAACTGCCAATTTCAATTTGGAGGTAATCCTACTGTGAACGCCTTTTAATCAGATCAAGTTTGCTGCTTTTGCTGCTGTTGCTTAAGTTGTCGGTAAACAATTTGAGTATAAGATTGTGGCTCTATTGAGTAAACGCATCTATCGTTTATGGCGTCCGCGCATGAACTGCAAGGTCTTGGCCATTAGAGGCGCCTTTTTGGACCGTCCAGGACCAGCACCTGTTGAATAAAAAATAAATTAAGAGGTGGATATCAAAATTCGTAAGTGATGAACCTAAATAACCGGATTCTTAAATCACTTTAATATAGTTCATTTATTATTTTATTGATAAAGTCAATAGACTTAAGGACAAACTCTGGCAGAGATTAAATCTTTGCTTCTTTTCTCCTATCATCGTTACTCACCCACTTGGGCCGTGTCTCGGGTGGCGGCCAGCACACGAAGTCGTGCATCGCCCACCTTAGCTGCATTTGGTGTTACGCTGGACAAGGAAGCCACCCGGGCAGCTGGAGTCGCTATAAGCTTGCCCTTGGTGCCATATTGCTCTTGCTTACGCTGCACACTGCGCGGCGGCTTTACCATTGAGTCTACAAAGGCTAGCTGAGTCTTACGCACGGGTGCCTCGCTAATCTTTTGTGATGCCTTGATGCTCTCGGCGAGAATGCTGAGTTTGCGATCCTTCTCCTCTTGGCAACGCTGTAAGGAAAATTTTGAGCGGTGTTAGTTGGTGGGTGGATTATTTAAAGGGGTAGTGAGTTTCTACCAGGAACATCTCTCGCCACGTCTCCATCTCCTCACGCCGTTGACTGCGACAGTGTCGCTGGACATGCTGCTGCCAGAGGATATCACTGTCATCCATTAAATATGGGTTGTACTCCTCGAAGTTTAAGAGCTGCTGAGGTGTGGCGCGTTCTAAAACAGGACGAAGCACCTCAAAGGGCACGCCACCCGTGTATTCCAGGGCTAGAAAAGAAAAGGGTAAGCATAATTTTAAAATTAGGTAAATAAGCCAGTTGAATGTGTGATCTCACCATCAATATTCTTCTGAAGAACACGCGTACAAAGATCGAAGAGCGAAGGGACCTGTAGAATTTGACCAGTTCTTACGCCTGAATAGATCTTTGTGCTGTATAAAGATGATATTATGCATTTTATATCAAATTAAAAAAGGTCGTAACGCACCGCATAGTTTTGGAGGATATGCCTTGGGCGAGGGCTTCTGATTCATTAAAGTAACGTGATGCTTGGGGTTTATGTGAGCCGCCTTGATTAAAGACCACGTCCATAACCGTCTGATTCAATGGCAAGGGCTTGTAGTTGTTTGAAATGGTGGGCAGTTCCAATGCAATGCTTGGGTCCAAGGGCTCCAGCTTGGCTGTTGATGCTAGCAGCTCGGGTTTCTAAATAATTGACATAAGTTACTAATATTTACTAATATTTCTATAAATTACTCTGGTGGTTGTCGTCCGACTGCTAGTTGACAGGATTTCCCTGGTTGATCCAGCCGCCGTGGGTATCGGTAAAGTTGACGAGGAAGGAGCTGTATTCGGCTTGGCGGAGAACTTGCTCTTGCTGCTGCTGTTACCCTTCTTGCTGCTCATGGGCATGTTGAGCAAGCCAAGGACATCGTCGAAATTGGCGCCCATACTAGAGTCAAAACCGTCGACAGAGTCTTCTTCTGATTTCGGCTTAGTTTTTGGTATCTTGGCTTTTTGGGCCTCTTCCTCCGGTCTTTGGGGACTGTGGGAGCGCTTTGATGACTTGGAAGAAGATGATGATGACTTGTGTTTGCTTGACTTGTCTTTTGCTGGCCTCGTCTCGCTGTGAGCAGACTTATCCTAAGAGAAAGTTATATTATTTAGGATTCTATTTGGTCTGATCTTAGAGGAAAACTTACCTTTTCGTGCCTGCTTTTGCTGTGCTCGCTCTTCTGGCTCTCAGACTTGCTGCTCTTGTGACTACTACTAGATTTGCTAGAATCCTTAGACTTGTGTTCGCCATTGGATTTCTTATCTCTGTGCTCTTTGGTCTCCTTGTGACCCTCCCTTTCCTTATTCTTATCCTTCTCTTTCTCCTTCTCCTTGTCCTTATCCTTGGACTTGTCGTGGCGACTACTCTTATGTTTCTTATCCGAACTATCTGACTTGCTTTTGGAGTGACTTTTGCTACTACTGCTGCGGTCATGCTTGGAGCTCTTGCCGTGCTTTGACTTGTGTTTGCTGGTGTGCAAGTCCTCACCGCTGGATGAGTTGCTGCCTTTGTTCTCCTGATCGGGATCCTCATCACTAGACTTTGACTTGCCCGAATCCTCTTCATTATGGCTAGTTGTTGGAGTAGCGGCGATTGCAGGCTCCTCTTCAGCAGCCACCATGGCCTTCCATTTGGACACCAGTGTCTTGGCCGCAACACCCACTTCTCCATTAAACTTTCGCAGTGCATTCACCGTCTTGCCAATTCCAGTTTCCTGCAGGTGTTCGAATTTGATCGGCAGATTGAACAGCTTGGTGATGCAGTGCAGCAGCTGTTTTGTGCGAAAGCAGGTAGAGAACAATGTGATTAAGACAGCTTAGCAAAAGAACGTGAGGGTGAAAGGTTAGCGAAAAAGAAGAGCAAGTTGAAGTCGAGAAATGTGACCTTGGTTGTTAATGTCTATATGCAAATTACACAAGGTTAGTTAGGGGAAAGTCAGGTCAGGTACTTGGGGATGAGATGCGTTGGAAATGTGTCGAAATAAATAAATAAGTTCAAGGAAAAGTAGGCTATAGACAGGATTTATTGCTCCAAACATGGGATTATCAGTAAAAGGAGAATAAGGTTGCAGGTGATAATGGTGGCTCACCCGACTTTCATCCTCGCCGTGCTTCTCAATGCTACGCTGGTAGTGGCGCACCACATCCAACAGATTGCTAGTGGAGGCCATCGCGTCGCCCCTAGATTTCCAACACCAAATAAAATACAACAAAAAATCGAACGCAGGCAGACTTCGTCTATTTTCCCGTTCCCTTTTTCACTTTCCGTTTTTTCTTGCTTGTTTTTTGGGGAGGAATCCAGGTAAACACACGCACACTGGGGCACACACAAGCACGGGCGCAGGCGGAAAAATCTCCGGTCGCGAGGCTAACGGAATTAAGATATTTTCACGTGCATTACTGATTTTACTAACAATTTCTTGGCCTTTTTTCTTTTTGCCAACAGCGAAAGAAACCAAATGAGATTTGCTTTTGTCGGCGTGGCGTTTGTCAACACTGGTCGAACAGCTGACAGTCAGAGTTGCTCAAAGTGTCATAAAAGGCCACAGAAAATTTGATTTACAATTCAACTTTTATGATAGAAATATCAACATATCAAATAACAATTGTAACAAATGTGTCTTTTCCCACAACAACTAAATTATTCAATTACGATAGTTCGTGGTATTTGGTTTAGGCGGCTACCCTTTCCACATCTGTTATCGCTTATCGATTGTTGTTTCACCATCTGAGTTAATTTGGCGTCCTTTTGGTTTTAGTTTTATCTAAGGTTTGGCGCGCCTTTTTTATACGCAACCACGATTATCATATAATATTTTGTATAAGCCAGGATGTCAGACGACGATTGCGATATATTTAGTGCTGCTCGCAAGCGTGTTCCGGTGCTAGGTAAGCTGAAAAGTAAAAATGACCCAGGCGTTTTGCTCATACTGGACTTCTTTCACAGCTTTGCCCAAGGAATCGTATAATCCCAGCAATGATTCTTTCTCCAAGGAAGTAGACTATGATTTCTTAGAAGACAGTCCCAAGAAACCGAATAAGACCAGTAAACGGAAGCCCCCAGCAGCACCCCGGGAAAAGCCTCAGAAAAGTAAAAGTGGTCCTTCGCCGCCAAAACAGACTAAGCTAGAGCCTCCTAAAATAGATAAAGATGAGGACGAGGAACGGTCCCTGTCCCCGGTATCAAAGTTAATCCTAGAGATGGAGCTAAAGAATGCCAATGAAAAATTAGCCGAGTTGAACAAAAGTCCTGTGGCCAGACGTACTCGGTCCTCACTCAGCAAGGTAGAAGCACTGCCTGCAACGGCGACGTCTATTGTAGAGCCTCCCGCCAAAAGCCAGCAGAAACCAAAAACACGGGGAAGAAAGAAAAAGTCAGCACCTGCAATGGACAATGTTTCGGATGTTGTTGTTTCTTCACTTCAAAGCATTGTGGCCGTAAGCTTATGATTATCAAAGATGTTAAGTATTTACATAATTTATTTCGTAGAGCTTAAACCAAAACAACAACAGACGCCAGACGGTGGCAGAATTTGCAGCCCGTTCAAAGGTGGTGGACAGCATTGATCTGGTATCAGCGGTGGCTCCGCGAGTGGAAGGCTTTGTAAGTCCAAAAAAAAAAAAATGTGCGCCTTAATAAAGCTAAAAAACTAATTTTCTAGGTAAATCTTGATTCTGAGGACGAACAAGAAGCTCCTACTCCCGTAGAGGAGGTAAACATCTTTGATAACGATAATCCCACCATAGAAGTAGCTCTGTGCTGGTAAGTGATAATGCATTTTGGTTCATTCAGTTATTAACCCTATACACATTTTCAGGCTTGGCGAAATTCAGACTTACAAACTGCGGCAACACCAAAAGTTCAAGCATTTGTTCAAGGAAGTAGCAGAACGCAATGCAGTAGACGAGAATGATATTTCCATAGATATGTACCATAATTTTATAGGACCCGAGGATACTCCACATGGCATTGGTCTTAAACCCTTTCATACGCTCAGTAGGTGTCCTGTTTTAAGAAATGTGTTCATCTTTGTATTATCAATATTATTTTTTTAGGCGGGCATGCAACAAAATCCAACAATCACAACAAAGTGCTGGCTAATAAAGATGACCCACAAGCTCTAAGTAAGAAAACCAAAAAGTTTCAAGTGAAAGTCCAAGCGGCTAAATGGAAGAATCCAATGGTTATGTCAATGAAGAAAAGGGATACCTTCAAAATGTTATATATCCAGTGTGCCGAAGAGATGAACTGTGATGCACGCCTCATTAAGCTTTTGTAAGTGTGTATAATTTTCCAAAGAAAATCTATTTCATATATATCTCTTTAAAGTTTTGATGGCGAACTATTAGATCCGGATGATACCCCCAAAAACCAGGATATGGAGTGCAATGAACTGATTGATTTACAAATTAAGTCATAATTTTAAACACATATGTAATTATTCCAAAGTGTTATGAATTTATTAATATTTTTTGATCTATGCTGTGCTAGATTTAATGTCAAAAGTGTTTAAATTACAAATATACATGCTTGTGAAATGTTGTCATTGCACTTATTCTAGTTTATTCCGCGAATATTGTACTTTAGTTAGGGTTAAGGATCGTATATTATGCTTAAGTTTTATCACTTATTTACAAACTTATTTACAACACACTCGATGAAAGGGTGATAGATCCTGTTGTGCAAAGATTTATCTCCAAGGGTATGTTTAAGTGGTGTTAATTATTAAGGGAAAGCGTATTCGCACTTCGACTTGCGCGAAATGTCACCAAGTAGAGCAGCGGGCAACTTCCAAAAACCCTCAAGCATTCATTATACACCCCTAATATTTTGTTTATCTAGCATATAGCGCACTCACACAGAGCTAGAAACAGATCCCAAATGGTTGTTTATATTGACAGGACGAGAGCGGATGCTGCTGTGGAGTTTTCCCATTTGCGGGGGGTGGTTTTGGGTGGGCGGCTAGAAAGAAAGAGAGTATGGGGTGGCTATAATAGTTGCCTCCTGCCACCGGCTTTGCTTTGCTTTCTCTCTCTCTCTCAGTTGCTACTCTCTCGATTATCCTTGTGCAGTTTCCCTTGGAATTTAACTGCAAAAATTCTGACACAGCGGGATAAAAATCTCTCTCACTCTCTTTCTGGAGAGAAAGAAAGCTCTGATGGGAAAAGCTCTCACCGTCAGATGAAGGGAATTTCTTTGCTTTCGGTGGCTTTTCATTCAGAAAGAGTTTATCCTTCGTGCTTGATGGACGCATTTTATTCGCGCTTCTTCTATATAACAAAGAAAAACCAAAAAGTCATTTTCAATCGCATGAAACTCATTGTTATTGAACTCCGTTTGTTTTCCAATTTGTTTAACCCCGATTCCACCGTCGCTCGTTGTGTGTTTGTGTTAAAACGAAAAATCAAGTGAAACGGCAAACTGCAAACGGCAAACGACAAGCAACCAACTCATTTATATGTAGTATACAAAAGTGCTGCTCTATTTGGCGCCTAAAAACGGAAGGATACTCGTGGCTTAAAGCATCAGCTCTAGGTAAAAACATGACTCTGAATCGTGTTGTTTGTATAGCCGCTTTGTATAGACATCCCGAGGCAGGCATTTGTTCACTCCAAGCTATCCACTCCATCCATCCAGCCAGCAATCCATCCATCTATCCACTGGCATTGACAGTGACGACTGACTCTGACAAATGTGTTTGTCATGTTTACCTTGTGGCTTAAACAAGTTAATTGCCGAGCGCCAGACACAAAAACCAACACAGTCAGCAGTTCACATGAGCAGCCAACTCCTTCCGGTTCTACATGTGTCCATCAATTATTCAGCCTGATTGTGGGCATTAAATATTGAAGCTATGTCCTGCTTATGAGCTGGAAGATCGCACAGACCTATGTAAGCCTTGACTGGTGCTAAAAATAAAACGTGACACCTGCAAAAATCCTGTACGTTTAGTGCGTACAGCCAACCCCCACAAATTGCCACCCAACCTAATGGCCTTGGGCTGGACACGATGGCGCTGAACTGCCTTCAAATGGGACTCTGAGGGCTCTCGATTCAGCACTGATTGCTTCAGTCAGCAATCGAATGTACACCACCCACCCACAGGCATTCGCAGCGTTCACCCACCCGGATGACCTTCAATTTGCCTTGCATATGGTCAAAATTAATAATGCCAGATTCACCTAAAAGCTTTCAACATAAAAGCTGCATAAATGCAGCTGCGTAAAAAGGTGGACCGTTGAGCATAGGTAAAAGAGGATGTTAGGGGGCGGTGGTGGTGGTGGGTGAACTGCCATAAAAAATCCGCTTGGCCATTTTTCTATACATATAAATTTAGCACCGTGCGATAGACCGGAAGTAACGTAAAACGTAACAAACGACACATTGGGGCACAATTTGCACACGTGTCGCATACGCAACACACACACATACACACTCACCTTGTTGGCTATTTTTGGCTGCAGTGTCCTTTTGGCCAGGATACGTATATGTTTGAGACTTTTTCCCTGGCCGCTCCTTTCTTTTTTTTGGTTGCTTTGTATGCAGCGAGCGCAACAAGCCAAAAAAAAGGAATCACAAAACAAACTGACGCCATTTTGCCATTAATCTCGACCACTTTATGGCCCAGGCCAACAAACAAACTTGCCCCTTTCCGGTATACCCTTTGCATTTTTCGGGGTGCTTTAGTTTAGTTTTGAGTTATTCTGTTAATTAAGTTTGAAAATTGTTTTCACTATACATTCTTTGCTTTGGACTAATCACATAAGATGTTTCCTTTTACTTAAAGTCTAAATATTTATAAAATTGCTATTAGTTTTATTTATAAATCGTAAAGTTTTCCCAAATTGCTTTCAGTAAGGGATACTTATTATAAGTATTTATTAACAAACTTCAAATTATGGATTAATTTTTCATAAACTCATTAAATATTCAAGGTTATTATCCACACATTACTTTTAATGAGCCTATCAAGTGCTGGGTAAAATGTCATACTATTAATAAGTAATCCTCTAAAAGCTTTAATATACAATGTCTACATCACTTTAATGACTTAATATACTCATAAGTAATAGTACAAGCACATTAAGTTATCCTTTTAATTTGCTTATTAGATTCTACAAAGAAAGGTCATGCCCTTTTGCTATGATTGGCCAAGTTTTCAAGATAATTTCCACGTGATTGAAGCTTAACTAAATGAGCCAAGTAATGAAAGCATTTTCTGAAATAACCAAGAAAAGTTCAATTGAAAACAAAGTTTGTTGATGGCCAAAGTTTAACTCTTATGAAATTATTATTATCATTCATGTTTCACCCTAGAAAATCAGAGTAGATAAAATCTCTTGCCGCATAATTTAGGGTATAGGAAAATCGCCGCTTTATTTTCCTTCAACATACATATGTATTTCTTTGTTTGCTCTATTCATTTTGGCTTTTTTGCCTTTTTTTTTCGTCCTTTGTGCTTTTACTTTGTTGCGCCATGTTTATTTTTGAGTTGGGCCCGGCCCTCGGAATGGAGGTGGATTTGCTAATGGTAGCGGTAGGAGCGTTTTGTGGCCAGCAATGGTTGCAAGTGCTTCAAATGGCTGAAAGGTTTATGGGCCCGTCCAGTTCCCCATTTACCAGTAACAGTACCAGTACCAGTACCAGTACTAGTAGCTTGCCGGAGTTCGCCCTTCCTATAGTTCTTTATTACGTTGTGTGTTTTACCAACAGCAAACACAATTGCCCGGCCCCGCCTCGACTTTTGTTTCAAGTGCCGCCGCCGCCCCCAACCATCAAATGGAGTGGCCATCACTCGGTCTCCGGATCCGCATTTGTATCCGCATCCGCAAGCGCGTTTTCCCTGCTCGATTTAACTGGGTCTAGTGCTGGGTTCTAATCCTCAGACCTCTTATACGAAAGTATACACTTAGAGAAAAATAAAGTTTTGTTAAATTTAAAATTAATTCCTTTTAAGTTAGTCAATAATAAAGTTAATTTTTGTTTTAATGTTGTTACACTTTTTGCTAATTTTAACTCTTAATTAGTAATTATTTTTATTTTAAGTCCTTTTTATTCTAAGTGTATATTTTGTTTTGCCTTTTGGGAGGAACTTTTTTAGCCGCTGGCTTAAGTATTTTAATTGTGGTTAACTTTTAGTTAAGAGATTGTAATAGTCAGCAAATCTCTACTTAGAAGAACTTTAAAAACATGAAATATTAAAGAGCGACATGTTAGAAGAGATTAAAACTAAAGATAATTTCTTTGAGTGTACTCGTGCATTGAACTGTTTTGGCGCACCTCTTCGATACTTTTACGGTGGGAGACCGATTGCAAATCCCTGACCAGGCGGTTCCTTCGCTGGCTTTGAGCCCGTTGGATGGATGCCTCTTGCAATTACTGTCGACTAGGATACCAAGTCACCCCAAAGCACCCACGAACGAACCTCTGGGACAGCTCACATTTGATGTGCATTTGCATTCCTGGCCCTAAGGCTATCGAATGCTTTTTAGTCCACGACATTGTCATTGTTGCAGCTCGCCTTTTTTCTTCTATTACTCCTTTTTGCTATGCCACAAAGGACACTGGAGTGCAAGGAGGACGGAGTGGAGAGGGTATTTGGAGTGCGAGGGCTTTTATTAAAGTTTCGTTTTGTTTGCCTTCTGCAACAATGTCCTGGCACCGACACCCACGCCCACAAGTGGCGACATCAGTTGCAGGCTCCATCTCCTGCTCCACTTTGCTGTTTTTTTTTTCCTCCAGAAGTCACCGGAAGTTGCAGTCTAACAATAAGTTGAAGAATACTGAATGCTGGCTACATTTCAAATATATATATAAGCGTGTTCTTATTTCTTATTAATTTTTGTGCAGCCAAGTGAATTGAGCAAAGACATTCTCTAGAAAAGATGTAACTATTGTCTTGCAGATTCTTAAAAGTATTTGCTTGGCTGACACAGATATCTTTCAATGAGATACATTTGAAGAATATTATTTATTTATGAACTATTTTTAACTTTTATTATATATATTTAATTCCAGCACAACATCAACACCAGGAACTGGACCAATTTTTGACCGATAAAACGAAATCAAACACAACAATCAACTCTACTCACCGACCTTTCTAGTCTTCTACACATACACCCGTTTACACTCGAAGAAAAACCCTTTTGTACCGACCACTTTTTTGGACAAACATATCGCTGGTGGAGAACCAGAAGGAGAAGTGACATAAATCCCAAACCCATCCTCCTCCAATCCTGCCCTTGAACCAAGCCAGGATCAATCTTAATCCCAAAGCAGATCGTGCCCCGTGGCAAAAGAATCCAAGACGGCGCCACTTAAACCACAAGCCTACAAAATTGGCCGAATGTTATGTTGTGGCTTCTGCTGTGGCAATATGTCGAAGCGAGATTACAAAGTGGCCACCACCGATGGCATCGAGCTGGAGCCGTTGGGCGGCGAAAAGTGCGACAAGGATAAGGACAAGGACAAAGAGAAGCAGACAAATGGCGTCACTTTTGGTAAGTCTCAATAAAAAACCATTGCAATTGCCACAATGCCTGGGGGAG